CAATTTCACATATCTTGCGATGGCGTTGGATGTTCTTGGGAATGAAATCTTTGCAAATGCTGCAAATATTGCTGGCTTCCGGAGCCAAAGGCTGCTTTTTGGTGCCTTTCCTACGTGAAGGCATCTTCGTTCGGGAAAGGAATTTGAAGCACGCGACCGTGTTTGGCGCCATGACATCACCACAACTCCACTCTCCCTCCCTCTTATTCTTGCCCTATCATGCGCCCAAGAAAGCTTAGGCGTTCCAGCTCCGAGACAACCCACGTTTCTGACTCCGAGCCAGAGCGGGAGGCTGCGCAACAACGGGAAGAAGAAGAAATTGCAGCTAAAGCTGCAACAAGCACCACCCCCACCCGCCACGCCCCTCCACTTCTCCAATCCATCCCATCTACATCCATAACTCACCCCAGTCGAGTTCAAGCGCTGTCTTCAACCTACAATCGAGCATTCTCACATCTTAAGGCAGCTGAGCATGATCTGCGCGCATTGCGGAAAGAAATGGATGGTGTGTGTGTATTAGACCCAATGCATACATTTAAGACTAACCCAAGGCTAGCATTAGAAAACCCAACCCCCCGGCCACAAAGTCCGCGCGTCGTCCCCTCCGCCAGCTGGTGGAAAAGTGTGTCGGACCTGACAGCCCAATGGCAGGTGGTATTGAAGAGCCCCTCATCCCAAAGCAACTGCTTGATAGCCTTGAAGAGGGGTGGTACATGATGGAGCGTAATTTGGATGAGTTTGTGGCCGTTGTGGAGGAGGACGAAAGACGGCGAAGGGAAGCAAAGGATCGAAAGCAGTGTGACATATGATGACATAATACATTCCTTGTCTACTTTTCCCCTCATCCTCGCTGCACCGCCGTTCACCCATGTGATTCAACAGCCATGTTCGCCTACACACAATCTTCCGCCTCTGCAAGTACGAATGACGCAATGATGGAGCTGAGCGAGTGGGGTGGTGGGGCCCATGGGAACCACATCTTCTCCATAAATCACTTGTAGGTCCCAGCGCCCACATTCGAATACTTTCCCACCTGATGACTCGCAGACGACGTCTTTCCTCATCTTCGCAAGAGTCCGACACCGAACGCCAGCCTCTGACAGATGCTGCAAATATACTTCAAGATTTCTCGCCCTCAAATTCTCCTCGCACTCAACGCACGGTGCGCAACTACCCACAATTTAAAGCCTATTCACTTTTCCACAGCTTAGAACACAAGTCCAAGCCGCTCTCAATGCCGCCAATGCAACTCTAGCTACCAAAGAGCAGGAGATTGCTGACCTCCGCAACCAAGTCCAGAAAACCACGAAGCCTCGTAAACGTCGCCGTTTCCATCGAGCGGATGATGCCCCCGACAACTGTGAAGCCGACCCAGAGGCACTCACCTCGCTTGTCACCACAGCTGGTCGACGTTTTGCGCTCACTTCTTCCATTTTCCTTGTCGATATCGAGAAGATTTGTACGACAACTTTTTCCGACACCTTTGACCCAATGACAGAGTACGACAACAAGACCAACAAGGTCATGGGTCAGCTGGGGGACATATTCCGTCTGCTTCCGGATGCAGCTAAAGGAGAATGGCTGCAAGGTTGGGTGCACAATTCGGTATGTGTCTTCGATATAGCTTGTTACTGTACTCTGACATCTATCAGTTCTTAGATGGTCTTGACGGACAGCGAGCTCTCATTCGCACACGCATCCGTCGTGAAAGCCTTTCGCATTTCACCAACGACCGAAAGCTTTTCCTTAGCGAAGACTCGCGCTTCAATGCATTTGCGGCATACATCGGCTACTGCGAGGCAACCGAAACACAGGATGCGCATTACTCTCCGTTCAAGGCGGAGGTCCTTTATGATGAATACAACAGCTCTCTGGACCTCGACCATGTCTTTCGAGGGAAACAGTTGCTAAAGGTGCGCATGTTTTCTATCCTTCATTCAATTCTGACAACTGCTCTAAGATATATGCAGCTATGATTCGTGGACCCGATGGCCCCGAAGGACTGATGGAGCGAACACCATACTCACCGTCTGCTGACTCAAATGAACGCAAATATAACATCAAGTACACGACGCCTGGTGCAATAGCAACAGCGGCTATATTGGTAAGTAATCTCTTGGTTATCAGCTAAAGTTCATTGTTTTTAGGCTATCTTCTTGTACTCGGGCGATCCAAAACTCGTCGAGCAAGGTCATTACACCGGCATCAATTACCGCAAACGCTATATCGCCTACGTCTCCAAGATTCGAATCGCACTGCTCGAAGGCCGTGCCTGGGCGCGGGAACTTCTCCGATATTGGGATGGATACCTGTTTCCTCATTCAGAGGAAGCGTTTACAGGGGCAGCTCCGGGCGATCAGCGTGCGGAGGACGAGGAGATGGACGAAGACCAAGCCATCTTTGACAACGCTCAAGTCGACCCCAATGCGACTCCACCGGTGATTTCCACAACATTCTTATGTCTAAGGCGCTGACTCTGCTCGATAGCAGTCGCCCAATCAACGTTCGTTGTCGCCGCCAGCTGTACGACCGCCAACACCACCTTCGACTGCCCCAAATAATGATTTGCCCACCCACCAAGCAACACCAGGGGCCTCTGGTATCGGACGAACTCCCCGACAGACACGTCGTTAATGTATTATCTACCCTAGCATATTTTTTTTTCTCAATTTATGCGAGAACCACTCGCAAGCTCCTCCAACTGACTGCAATCCGCTCCAATCCGCTCAGCATTGAGTTGGATTGCGCCGGATCGGGAGCTTTATTGGACCTCCCAATCCAGTCCGTGCCTATACCTCCCTGTTCCGATCCACCTTATGGATTGTGGGCTTGCGGCGGCTTGCATTGTCTGCTGAGCCGTTCCAGTCATTCTAGGATTTTTCCGACATAGTCGATGGATATTCTGCCTCATATCATTTGTCTGCCAAAAAAAAATGCTATTAGGGTATATAATTGTCTGTCTCCGTCTGCTCTCGATTCCCTCGGACGATTCCGTCGAGGAAGGCAACTTGCATAACATCCGATGTATGCCTTCTGCCTTCCTGGCCACGAATTGCCCATGACAACGTCAACATCTACTCTACGCTCGGCCATGAGCTTCTTCACCTCCGAGTTTGGATCCTACCCCTTGGGATCATATAAACTAGCCTTTGTCGATGAGATGCCGATGCAGAGATTCGCTAGCTCAACATTATCGCTTCTCACTGTAGACTTGCTGTATAGCGAGGATGCTATCGAGCAGGCTCTGGAAACTCGACACCCTTTGGCGCACACTTTGGTTTGCCACAAAAAAGCGTAGTCCATGGGCCTGTTATTTTACTTATTATGTAGAAGAATACAAAGGTTGAAAAGAACTCGGCGGGAACTAAAGCGAGATTTCAAAGCAAGGTCCGGGACGGCTGTGGCCGACACCTAGTTGACACTCAACTTTGAACTCATGTTATTCACAAAGCAAGGACCACCTGAAACTGGCAGCCGCATGCACGACTTTCTTCCCATTCTCCCCGAACTTTTGAGGACATATTGCATTCAGCATTCAACGCTCTTTGTTCCTTCTCATTCTTAACCGTTATCCTTTGTGGGCCAGCCGGCCACCTCTATAAAAGCATGTCTACGTTCCACAAGCCTCAGAAATATGCAACCCGTGCTGCCAGATTCAAAACCCGTAAGTGGCTTTGCAACGAATCGGTTATGCTTATATCCATTCCCTCTCCAGCGTCCAAGTCGCGGCGAGCACGTGCACAAGCATTTCTGCGGTAAAGATGGCTGCCAATATAGCTGCGTGAAGGCCGCTGACATGGAGCGTCATAAAATCACCCACCTTCCTGCGGAACAACGTGAGGCACGGTTGGTACCTTTATCAAGTGTCTATTTCCTCGTCCTTATGATGTCTGTAGCATGTTACGGTGTCTCGAGCCAGGCTGCAACCACAAAACACTGCAGAAATCAAATCTAGCCACCCATCATCGGAGCCGACAGTAGGTTATTCTAAAGTCGCACTGAAAGCTATTCAAAATCTGTCTTAGCACAGGAGAGAAACCCTACGTCTGCGAGAAGTGCAATAAAGCCTTCGCTGATGGCTCGGGCTTGATTCACCACCGTAAAAAACACCACAAGGAACCCGTCACAAACAGGGAACCCCTCGCAAACCAGAAGCTTGTCGACAACAAGGAATTCCTCGAAAATAGAGAACCCGTTGAAAGTAGAGAGCACATCGAAAAAGAACGGCCTTTCCCGAACAAGAAACCCGTCGAGATCGAGTTACCCCCGATTAACACTGAACTCCCTACCACGCCTGAACCCAAAATCAAGGTTGAGAGCGACGCGGAGCAGGAGCGTGAAGGATCTGTTGGTGCCGAGGATGAAATTGACGAGCTTGAGGAATTTGCCGAGGATGAAACTGACGAGCTTGAAGATTCTGTCGAGGAGGAAATCGACGAGCTTGAACAAGAAAGCGCATCCGACTCGTCCATCATATCATTCGAGTCCGAAGAACCGACCTATGCTGCAATCCGTCCTGCAGACCTTCAACCCACGACCAAGGACCAGAACAAGAAAGCTAAATCAATGGCAATGGCAAGCCTCTCCAATGCACCCGAGCTTCCGCGACTGTCTTCTATGAACAACGCTGACTCGTTTAAGTCTAAATCTAAGCCGGTCTCCTCACCTGCGAGCGTCACCAGTGAGCCTCCAACTCTCACCCCCTTTACCTCGTCATTCCCAGTTCCCGGCTATCGCAATGACGAGCAACGAGACGACCGGCCTGGATTAGCCCATTTAGATGCCGACATCAGGTCAGTTCCAGTGCGAGGACGTGCTTCGAGTCTGGTTTCTGTGTCCTCCTCCCGAGAAGGCGATATCTTCCGTATATGTTACCCTGATGACTTCGAGAATAGTTCCGGCTCTGTTTGAAGTCGAATCTGCAGGGACCAATTTGTCCAAGTTTGTAATTGTGATGTCATTTCAACACCTCAACTACATGCCAATGTGAACCAAAACTACTATCTCACACTTGCCCTCATACTTCGCCAGATGTCAGCCCCATCCTCCCCATCATCGTCTCGATTTATGTTCTTCCCAAGTACAACAGCAATGTCTTTCAGATCCTTCTGCAGGATTTTTGTCAGGTGCACCAGACCCGCTTGCTGCTCTGCGAGAATCTGACATCGACAATGAGCATAATCAAGTTATCGAGCCAATGCCTCCTTACCTGTGCAATTTGAGCCAGTCCGTCCTCGTCAACGACCTTCCACTCGCCATTTTGCTGTCCCGATGATGCAGCATCCCTAGCAGCGGCCAGCGCACCAACCACCGCCCACAATTCCGCGATCTTACTGCGTAACCTCCCCGCAGCATTACTGGTTGTCCTCCCATTCGAGCTGTGACCGTGCCCACCAACATCCGTTCTGATCTCTTCTAAAACGCCGCGCATCGCCTCCTCTTCGATTCGAACTGCGCCACCACGGACAGCAGGTATAAGTAAATGCAGATGAGCGGCAAGAAGTAGCACTCGGTGGTAGAGTTGTACATGTGTCGCTGCTAGGCGCGAGGCACGGGTGTGGTTGGCTGATTGATGTGTCGCAAGGTCAGCAATTCGGGTTTTGAGTTCCTGGTACTCTTCAATCAAGTATGCAAGAAAGAATAAGTAAAATAAACTCACATTAAGCTTGGCCACGTGATCTGTGGCTTGAGCAGTCTGGCCGTCTAATCGTTGGCGAAGATCGTCAAAGCCAAGAGCGACGTTGGGCACCAAACTATTTAGTGGAAATTTGAGTATGGTCCACTGATATGATGACTCAGAACGTTCACCTTGACGGATCTGGGTTATCCCTCACGGCCTTGGTCCATAACGCTTCGCTCATATTCGCTGGCCGACCGTAAAGATTTATTTGTTGCGGGTTAACGCGATTATAGAAAACATGCTATTTATCAAGTTCAGCAACAGTAAGACTGTGAGATCCAGAACATACTTGGAAACGGCACTGGGGTGACGCAGGGTTCCATGCATTCACGATTGCTTCGACTCGTGCATTTAACCGGGCGAATTGCGTTTGGGCATCAGCCTGCGTTTGGGCTGGTGCTGTGGTGCGTAGGGCACTTGTTGAAAGCGTTGAGACACCTAAAGCAGGTTGTTGCGGTTGCGGCTGTGTTGTGGAAGCTCCAAACAACGGTTTTGCCTGGGATTGACCAAAAAGATTCGTTGTCGATTGACCAAAGAGCCCGCCACTGGTCGTTGGAGTCGTACTCGTATTAAGAGCGGGGACGGTTGCTGCTGGTACGAGTCCTCCAGGTTTCGGCGCACCAAATAAACTTCCGCCAGAACTTGTGCTCCCAAATAATCCACCAGTGGCCGTTGGCTGGGTTGTTTGCGTGCTACCAAAGAGCCCTCCTGTTCCAGCTGCAGGTTGAGCCGTCTGAGTGTTACCGAAGAGACCGCCAGTTGCGGGTGCTTGGGTTTGGGTGTTCCCAAATAAACCACCTGTTGTGGGTTGGGCAGTCGTTGTACTCCCGAAGAGTCCGCTTCCACCAGTCGTTGGTTGGGTTGCTTGGCTGCTCCCAAAAAGTCCCCCCGTTGTCGTTTGTTGCTGTTGGGGCTGTCCAAACAAACCAGTACTTGGTGTTGTGGTGGTGGATGCACCACCTCCAAACAACCCAGTGGTCGCCGGCACTGTCGTTGTCGACCCAAAAAGTCCGCCTCCACCCGTATTGTTTGTTGCAGCGGCAGTATTATTTCCAAAAAGGCCTCCTCCAGTTGTGTTGCTCGCGGCTGGTTGACCAAAAAGTCCTGTTGCTGGTGCTGTCGGTTGAGTAGCCGTGTTTCCAAAGAGACTACTACTTCCTGCGGCGGGTTGCGAGGTAGATCCAAACAGGCTGCCTCCGGCAGGTTGTTGTTGCTGAGCAGGCTGACCAAAGATCGACATCGCGAAAGGTGAAGAGGCGCGTCAAGCAGCAAGCTCGTGACGTGCGTGACCGGACCCGAAGCAGTCATAATCTCTCCTTCCATCCCCACTCTTCCTCGCACTTATGGCGGACAAAATTACCCGTATCGCCATCGTGGACTCCAACAAATGCAAGCCTAAGCGTTGCGCCCAAGAATGCAAAAAAAGTGAGGGCCTAATCCAACTGTTCTCATTGGCCGAGACCGATTTTTTGTCGGCAGTCATGTCCCGTCGTGAAAATGGGTCGGTTGTCGAGCTGATAGTGTGTCTAGCCTCCTAAAGTTGCTCGATAGGAAAACTATGCATAGAAGTCAAGCCGACCGACAAAATCGCCTACATCGCCGAGTTTTTGTGCATTGGATGCGGTATCTGCGTAAAAAAGTGTGTTGATAGTTTCAAGTGCATTCTTGTGGATCTAACATTCTTTCCTCTAGATGTCCATTTGAAGCTATAACGATTATCAACCTCCCCACAAATCTCGACTCCGAAGTGACACATCGGTACACTGCTAACGCTTTCAAACTGCATCGGTTACCAACCCCGCGGCCTGGACAAGTGCTCGGGCTTGTTGGGACAAACGGTATCGGGAAGAGCACGGCGCTTAAGATTTTGGCGGGCAAGCTGAAGCCCAATCTGGGGCGGTATGACGTGCGGTTTCGAAAACTTTTTTGTTACGCCTTTTGACTCACGCAACTCTAGGACCCTCCCGACTGGCAAGACATTCTAAAGTACTTCCGTGGTTCCGAGTTACAGAACTACTTCACCAAAGTGCTCGAAGACAACCTTAAAGCGCTCATCAAACCGCAATATGTCGACCATATTCCGCGGGCAGTCAAGGGTCAAATGACTATTGATCAAATGCTCGACTCAAAGCTGGAAAGGAACAACAAGCAGCAGATGTGCGATGATCTAGAACTTAATGCTGTGCTCCAGCGAGATGTTACCCAACTCTCTGGTGGAGAATTGCAACGATTCGCGATCGCGCTTTCCTGCGTACAGAACGCGGATGTGTAAGCTCACCTCTCCCCACACCATAACTTTTTGAAAATTGGTCAGGTATATGTTTGACGAACCCTCGAGTTATCTTGACATCAAGCAGCGATTAAAGGCCGCAGAGGTTATTCGTGGACTCCTGCATCCAGACTGCTATGTTATCGCAGTTGAACACGACTTGTCCGTTCTCGACTATCTTTCTGACTTCATCTGCTGTCTCTACGGAAAACCTTCAGTTTATGGTGTTGTAACGATGCCTTCGTCTGTGCGAGAAGGTTTGTTCGGTCCAACTCTTCCATCGTATTCTAATTATCAAATCACAGGCATTAATATCTTCTTGGACGGGTATATTCCAACCGAGAATCTGCGTTTCCGCCAAGAATCGCTCTCATTCAAGATGGTCGAAACTACAGAAGAGCTTGTTGTCGATCGTACCCGACACTACTCGTATCCATCAATGACCAAAACTCTGGGGTCGTTCAAGCTTACTGTTCAAGGTGGCTCTTTTACGGACTCGGAAATTATTGTGATGTTGGGAGAGAATGGTACGGGGAAGACCACATTTGTTCGCCTGCTTGCTGGTGACTCGCCAGATGACGAGACAGAGAAACAAAACCTCAGTGTGTCACTCAAGCCCCAGACTATTTCCCCCAAATTCCCTGGAACTGTTCGGATGTTGTTGCTGAAGCAAATCAAAGCAGCGTTCATGCACCCGCAATTCCAGACAGATGTGCTGAAGCCGATGAACTTGGAGCCTCTGATGGACCAAGAGGTGAAGACGCTCTCTGGTGGTGAGCTGCAGCGTGTAGCCATTGTGCTTGCGCTTGGAAAACCTGCTTCAGTCTACCTGCTGGACGAGCCAAGCTCTTTCCTCGACTCTGAACAACGTATCATTGCGAGCAAAGTTATCAAACGATATATCTTGCACGCCAAGAAGACCGCGTTCGTCATCGAGCACGATTTTATTATGGCAACATACCTTGCTGACCGAGTCATCGTCTTCGAGGGTCAACCTGCCATCGCGGCGACTGCTACTCCGTGAGTATTACGCTCTCATTCCTCGGCTCCCCGCTAACCCTTGAAAAGACCCCAGTCCCTTCTGTCGGGAATGAATCGATTCCTTGCCAGCCTCGAGGTCACATTCCGCCGCGACCCGACCAACTTCCGGCCTCGAGTCAATAAACTGAATAGTGTCAAGGACAGAGAGCAAAAAGGTCAGATTTTCTTTCGCCAGCTTCCCTTCTGTTAATCCCAAACGCTGCAACAGATGCGGGAAATTATTTCTTCCTCGAGGATTAAAATGGAGGCCTTAAGAGCAGCATGTTGCCCATGTAGCACTATCCGCCAGCCTAGGGGACAACAATAACCGTGCACCCGTTCTAGACATGGAAAAGATTTTATCTGTAGCGTTAGCAGAGGGAACGGGTGTTACATAGTCCGGGCATTTGCCTGTATGAACGATGGTTAGACATATCATATAATGAATGTAGTGTGGATGCAAATGTATTTAGGTCTCTCTTTCAGCTTCATCCCATTGTGCCACGTGACAAACTTCATGCAACAAACCCTTAGCCTGGAACTGAGTCTCAGCTGGAAACCAACTCAGGACTCAGACCCAAACGGTTTCCATGCGAATTGCGTCACTTTCAGCGGTTTGCCCATGCAAACCGCCGACGCCAACGGAAGGAAGGGGAAGACCAACCTGGAATTGAGTCTCAGCTGGATCCCAGTTCAAGATTCAGATTCCAATGATGACCATGAAAATTGTGTCTCTTCGAGCGGCTCGCACCAGCAAGCCGCCGACGCCAACGGAAACAAAGGCAAGACCAAGAGAAAAAGCCCGGGGAGGATCGCGCGCGACACGGCGAGAAGGCTGGCGCATGTCGCAAAATTAGAGGCATTGCGACAGCTCACCCCTACAGAGGAGTCAAAGCCTAAACTTGGTTCAATGAATGGTAACAACCAATACCGTATCGAGGGCTTGATTGAGCGCATTCAACGGCTGGAAGCTATTCTTACTCCTGCGGCCTCGCGTGAGCCGGAGGAGGATGCGCCAAGCAACAAGGCAGAACACTGGCTTGCGTCCCTTGATGCACGACTCGAAATACTCGAACTCGAAGTCAAAAAGCAGACCACCGACACCCCTGAGGACACATCCATTGTTTCGCTGTTGCAGCTCGTCGAAGCTCAAGCCACAGCTATTGAACAATTACACCAAGAACTAGCAGAGTTGGCCCGACATGAGTGAATTGTGCGTGTAACCAGTTTGAAGTCACTGACGCAGTGTGTATCTCTATCGCATGCAGTTTGAAAAGAAAAATAGTCGAAAAAATAGTCGCTTATGAGTAAAGAATCGTATAGAACAGACGCAATGCACTACTTCAACTCGCCCGATAAGGTCGTTGTAAATTTGTGCGCACCAACATTTGATGATGTGACTTATCATAGTCGTAGTCGCGTGACTCTGTACAGACGAGTGACTTTGATCACCCTCAAAACCTACCACCACCACCATGGTCGGCATCGCTCCTTCACGTCCCTCAGTCCACTCACGATGACCACAGACCAAACGCACGAAGAAGGTTGGCATCACCGGAAAGTACGGCACGGTGAGCTCTCCCTCTGCCATCGCCGATTTTCTCTAAAACATGGCTGGTAGCGTTACGGTGCCTCCCTGCGAAAGCAGGTAAAACGTATGGAGATCTCGCAACACGCGCGCTACACATGCACCTTCTGTGGAAAGGTGAGCAGCTCTCCGCTCCGATGAAAGACCACCGATAATTGTGGATCTGTAGGACTCTGTAAAACGGACAGCAGTGGGCATTTGGAATTGCTCCTCGTGCAAAAAGGTCATCGCGGGCGGTGCATGGACTGTCGCCACGACATCAGCTGCCACTGTTCGGAGGTGCGCCTTTTGGGTTTTGGACGATGGACTTTGCTGACATTGGGCTAGTACTGTTCGGCGACTGCGCGACCTGACGGAAGCATAGACCCATCCTTCTTCATTTCTATGTTTGTCCTATGTCGCATGAAACAACCATGAAAGCAACCAAAACTGTGTATTAACTCAAGCGTCGTATTCAAGATACTGCGATTTGTTGGCCGTCCTCTTCTCCGTCCGCATCCATTTCTTCCCGTAAGAACCGCGGATTTTCCACTTCAGCCAAGAGGTCATCGCGTTCCGTTTCCTGGTCCTCGTCCATTTCCACATGTGTCATTCGGATGATCTCCCATTTGTCGCTGTAGCCGTCGTCGTATGCCTGTTTGAGAGTAAGGAATTTGTTTGTAGGCCATATCAAAGAGCCTACATTGACGCGCTTCTTCTTGAGCAAAATTTTGCGCTCAATATTTTTGTAATACGCCCCACATTTGCGTTGTCGTGGGGCCTCGTCGAAGACATCAGCCTCGGCTTCGTCCTCGATGACAATCATAAACTCGTTGGGCACTTCTTGCTCGACCTTGACAGTCTCGTAGTCGCGAACGAAATTGAACAGTATTTCCTGGGGGGCGATGAGCGTGTCAATTAGAGAGTAGCGAACAACTGACCTCCTTCTCGACAGGCACCTGGTATGGAGCAACGGAGAGTCGAGACTCTTTCAACCGCAGGGCAGACTCGTCATCTTGTGTGAGATAGTAAGCCAAGAACGAATCGTGTTCGGTTTTCATAGGCCGTAGAATGGCACAGTCAAGTCGTGGATCGTCCTCCTACAAACAAATAGTGACCAAATGTTGGGGAAGAAGAGAAACAGAGACATACGGTAGCAGGGCGATCGCCCGGCCGTTCTGCGAACCTGAATAAATCATACTGGTTCGGCCAGATTTCGCTGTCGGGCAGTATCTCATACGACTCAACCGCGTGAACACCGGGTTTATTTGGATGGTGCAGTTCTTGTAGGTCGAAGTTTTCATTGCAGGCAGCAAAAGAGGCCTCAATGTCGCGTAACTGAGCCTCTCTTGAGACGTCGATATCGACGACAGCACTTTTCCTAGAAATGTTTAGTTGACTGGAGACATGAAGGAGAAAACGGACAGGTCCGGTATGCTCGTCGACCGTTGGATTCCTTCCCGACTGATATACTCTGTTTTTCGTAGCCACGGGACATGCGCAGGAAGAGGCGGCGCCCCATTGGAGGGCTGGCCATTGCTGTAAGATGTGGACGGGGCAAGCTCTTCTAGTAAAGCCGCGTCTTCAGGATCGAGGATTTGCAGGTTGTTAGGGTCGGGGTTCAACTCTTTGGAGACGTCAGAGTTGGTGTGAAGTATAAAAATGACGCGATAAGACAGACCGGCGTCGAGGGCAGCCCAGCGAGCGCGAATGTCGGTTGCTGTTTCGTGCCCTTTTGGATTGTTTTCATCGTACATCCACAAGGACTCCCACCGACCCAGGTCCAAAGGCATACCCATTTCTGCGTCGACGATCATAGGAAGAGGCGTGTCGTTCGCTAGTGCATCGAGAAATCCAGGCCGTGCATAACGCAATGGTGTCGTCGGTATCTCAAGCAGTTTGGGAGGGCATGGCGGGGCAGGCAGCGGGTTAGAGTACCGCACCCTAACAAGTAGGTCGAGCTTGCTACTGTAAGGGAGTTAGAATCGACCGAAAACAAACGAAGATTGCACTTTTTCTTGGAGGTCATTGTCGCGGAGAGTCACATGTCTGTCCGTCCAGTGACTGCTTGTTTGACGCGTCCAGTCGTCCTCTGACTCTCTCTGACGTTTGTCCTCTGGCCAAGTTTATTGGTACTTTGCAGCTGGGACGGCGACACCATGTTCACTCCTCCTCGCATTCCCGACGAGGTCTTGAATATGATTTTCGAGCATCGTGCCCTGGAGAATTCAAAGGATTTGCTTTGCGTTTGCAGCCTTGTCTGCAAGGCTTGGCTCCCTGTGGCGCGGTACCACCTCTTCAGAAAAGTTGTTCTCCATCTCGATAGCGACGGGAACACGACCTTCCTCGGCCTACTTCAGCATCCACTATGTTCCTTTACCGACTCTGTCCGCAAAGTACGGCTTTTACCCGCTCAGTCTACCCGAATGTCTCAGCGCGTCAACACCGACTTGGCTGTTTTAAATCGACTGACAAGGGTCAACGCGCTCTGCCTCCATGACCAGAAAATCATTCCCCTCGACACGCTCCAAGTGATCTCAACAGTTTTCAAGGATATAACCTCCTTGACCATGATGCTCCGCTTCAAACGGTCAGCGGACGGGATCCAATTCATGAGCTCATTTTCCCAGCTCGAAGAAGTCCACTTCGAACTTGTGAGAACACCCGTCGGAGACCCGCCTCCGAATAACCTTTCTATTCCACCAAAACTACGGAGTCTCCGCCTGAATTCAATCCGTGGACATGAGTGCTGGTTTTCAGACCATCGCCTACCTTCAATGACCACACTATCCCTGTATCATATCCGGCCATTGAACGACATCCCTCGTTTAACTCAAATGCTACAAACTTTCGGACGCAACCTACGCCATTTGACTCTTCGTTTCGACGCTCAGAAAGGTAAGTGCACCGTTCTCACACTTTGAACCTGTTTTCACATCAAACAGGAGATCTGCCACTCGAGGTAAACTTCAGTTACAACACCGAACTTCGATACCTGGAAATCGACCTGAGCGCATTGACCAAGAAGCATATTTCACCAGTCCTCGCTACGCTCAACGCTTGCGATCTCGAGATGCTCGTCTGGCGTAACCGGAAGTCATTTGACGATTTCTCGAAGAAGTCTTGGGAGGATTTGGATGCATTAGTCAGCGACCGTGAACGCTTCCGGGCTCTTGTTGCCTTCGAGATACGAGCATCCAACGATTCCACGAAATATAACCCTCGAGCCCGGATGCCGTTGTCAGAAGCTCGAGGAGTTTTGTCTGGGTCAACTGAGATCTGAGTAGTAGTAGTAGTCGAATTCATGATGTCACAACCACGCGTTTATCGCTCTTTTGCCGAGAACGACGACAACTACAATCTCCTATGAAATCCTTGTCCCAAATATGAATAGCAAAACCGACTTTGATGCCATCCTCTCAGGTCAACCGACCATCGTTTCTCATCCCGGCGCCAGTCAGTACAACGCAGGTGGGATTGCTGCGTGTGGTTTAGCTAGTTTGAACTTTGTGCGGGTCGCTTTCGCACGTGTGGAGGCTGGAATCATCGGGAGACGGCTGGTAGAGGACTTGGTTTCACGGCAAACCAGTGAGGTGTGGACCATTCACACCAACGATGGGCACTGACTACTCTTTGTCCAGGAAATCATACACATCTGTTCCAGATGGCAATCCAATGGGCATCTCGAGGTTGAAGACATAGCCCAGGTGCCTCTTTTTGAACGGGCACTCGAACTCGAATCGTCAACATTCAATGTACCATCCTTCGACCACTTCTTGGCTATGTTGAGGTAGCATCTCTCAACTCTTGTGTTTGTTTCGTCTGTCTCATCCCAAAAAAATAGCTCTCTGGAATCTCTTCCTCAACAACATGCTGCCATCGTCATAACGCGTCCACCAGAAATTGTCAGTTGTCTCAAGCTTCCCATAGAGGTTACCTCCGAAAAGTCCGGCGTAGTCTTTGTTATCTTTGACTCCCACCCCAGGCCCAGTCATCCAGACGGCGCGGGCCTCATCATTAACGCATCTGTCGCAGCTGCAGCTGCTCATTTGGACAACCTTCTCAAAGTAGACGGCGGCTTACTAGCAGATCACGGTCTCCAGTGGCAAACCCAACTCCTTGCCAACTTCTCGGGCCACTGTTTCATTCCGAAGAGTCAGCCAGTCAATACTTTGTCAGAAATGACGAAATCAGTTATGGATTCGAGCCTGGCTGTCCTAGCAAAACAGGCTGAAGTTGACGAACTCAGGATACAGATTGCGGCACTTATGCGAGATCGGCAGTCTCTTGAACTGGAGTTGAACGAGTCTCGGGCGCGGCTTCGCACAGCCAAACACGCGTCAAAAGATAAATCTTCTTCACGTTCAAGCTATCGTGACGCCGTCAATGTTGTCCAGCCGCGCGCAAGCTCGTCCAAAGTTTCGTCTCCCGTCTTACCCCCCTCTGCTAGGAATGCCCTGGAATACTTCCATAATCCGAGTAACGTGCAACGCCCAGAGAAGACGAGAGTTGAATCGTCTGATTATCAGATGGCCAAGCAAGTAATCGAAGCTGGCTCGTCTCGACGAAATAATGGGGATTCAAAACGATATCAAAACCATTATGATGGTGATCTTGCGCTGGCAGCGCAGTTGCAACGTGATTGGGACAGGCAAGATATGCGAGACGTTGAGAAACTTCGAGAGAAGCAGCGACAGTACGAGGCTGAGTATGCACGGCTGAATGCCGAACGCGTTACACTACAAGCCATGCAGCAAAAACTTTTCAGATGTCCACTGTGCTTTGAAGATTTGCCTGAAGACGATGTCGCTCTGGTGTCTAATTGTACCCATCAACTCTGTCGTCCATGCATGAAGAACTATGTTACCTCCAGGCTCGCGGACAAGATATACCCTATTTTCTGTCCAGTTTGCCTTGCAGAATCAACGACATCAAGTCCCGGGAGTGGGTTATCTTTGCTTTCTCGGTCTCGAGACTGGACTAAGTATTTCGTCAGTGATCACTGACGAGCTTGCCCAAATTCTTGGTCTCACGGATGTTGAATATCATGTCCTACAAGAACTACAGATCGCCTCCCTGTCGATATTGATTCATTGCCGCAAGTATGATCTTCGCTGGCCAAAGTAATCCGTCTCAACTGCTGCAGATGCAAGGAAGGCGTCTTCGTTGACCGAGGAGAGCACGACGCCGCAGAAATCATCGGATGTCCACTTCCCCGATGCAATTTCGTCTGGTGTAAGGCATGCCAACAAGAAATAGTCTCTGGGGGTCCGAAGCATTCATGTGATGGTTCGTCGGAGATGGACCACCTCCTGGCCCAGAGAGGCTGGAGACGTTGTCCCCGTGAGTTACGCTGGAGCTCTCGCGTGAGACCATCCCGATTTATATCCTAGACTGCAAAACCGCATTCCAGAAATCGTCCGGGTGCAACCACATGACGGTAAGCGGCACGAACCCAGTTCTCAGAGAAGATGACAATTGGAGACAGTGTTTAGCGCCGGGATGCAACACCCACTTTTGTTATCTCTGTGGAGACATGATCGTCAGGTCTGCCCTGGCGAAGGAAATTCGCACTGGGGTCAGCGACCATTACCGACGGTGCCAGTTGTTTGAAGATGTGCCGGAGCGATGAATTGAGAGCCTTTTTGTTGTATTTCTGTGCTTCTGGTTCTGTGCTGACAATGTCAATGCGATGTTATGATGGAGTACACGGACACACAGTGACCATATAAACGGTTATTGTTACCTTGGACAAAGAACTACAGGAGCAAGTAACAGGCTTCCCGTTAGACAATGAAAATCAATTGCGAAATGTGTCGATACCTTCGTGACGAGCTGTGACTACGTTGCTTGACCACACCAAAACTCTCTGGCTGACAATAAAACCAACTGCAAAGAATGTCATGGACTGCCAGGGAACTCTGTTCTTTGCCACGAACATTGACAACAACAATCTTTCCATAAATTCCGCGGCATAGAGCACTCGAACAACACAATTCTTGCCACCAAACCGAGAGTCACTATGGACGCAAACGTCGACTTGGCCAGCATGTTTACAAGCTTGCTCGCCTCCAATTCAGGGCTCAGTCGCTACTACAGACAACGCCAAGATGAACTGCGAGGCGGACACCTGGGAGACATTTTGGCTGCTTTGAACTTCATCCGCATCGCTTTTGCACGTGTGGAGGCCGGAATCACTGGGATCCAACTGCTGGGGGACATTCTGACCCCAGCAACAATCGACGTGTGTGCCTTCTAACTTGACTCAGAAGCATTTACGACTTGTTGTTCAGGAAGTTCTATATATTACCTCCCGCTTCGGTCCTACCGCACCTATCAATATCCGGACTACTGGTAGTCTTGAAAGCATAATCCAGGTAAATCACGGCAACAGATAATCGCATTAAACGTTGAAATGAGACCCCTTAGCTGCCTCTATTTCAAAATGCATTCACTCTTCAGATGACGAGACTCATTGGTGATCATTCCCGGAACCATTTTGTGGATCCGTTAGAGTGAGTCCATTGGCTTATTTGACTGATAAGTCTCATTCGAACAAACACACACTAGGCGCTTAGGGCTTCTCCCTGAACCGTATGCTGCCCTCGTCATATCTTTCTTTCATCAGCGGGAGGAAGTCTCTATTGTGACCTGCCTTAAGCTCTCGGTAGACATGGGACGAGGAAGATCTCACGCACTTTTCGTTGTCTTCGATCCCTGCCCCTCTCCCAACTTTGAAGACGGCGCGGGTTTCGTGGTGAACTACTCCGCAAGAGCTGCTGCTGCTTATCTCGACAGTACACTTACAGCTAGCCCATACTGCACAGTGCCTTCTGATGGGTCGCGTGTGCAGTACACGGGCTCCTTTTTCGTGCCAAAGAACGGCCCCTCCAATACACTCTCACAGACGACCAAAGCACTGATTGATACAAGTTTGTGGATGTTGACAAGGCAATCTGAAATCGACTCGCTTGAATCCCGGATCGAAAGCTTGACCAATATGCTGGATCCCAGCCAGGCGCACCTAGATGTTCGAGCTTCTTGGCGAAATCAGCATGAGCCGCCACTACCAGCGGCCCCCTCACCATACGCTCAAACAAGAGCTCGTTATTTTACCTTTGCGGAGCAAACTTCGCCCATTGTCCCGCAACCCAATGCCAGCCACATTCCTATGACATCCCCAACCAGTGCACAAGGCCGCCAAAATCACAGCAGACCTGAATCATATTACGATTCATTGATAGCTAGGCAGATGCAAATGGGGCTCCATATCTCTGACCCGGACGGACCCGAATCGAGCAGTCCGGATTCGAATCAACATCGCGTGAATACTAGTGGATTGGATTTACCGCAAGCAACGCGACGGAGGACTTTTACTTGTCCGTTGTGCTTGGAAGCGATCTCTCTTGATGATGTCGCTTTACTCTCGAACTGCACCCATCAACTCTGTCGCTCATGCGCGAAAAACTACGTTACCTCGCAAATTGCCGACAAGAGACACCCTATTTTCTGTCCTGTTTGCCTCACAGATGACGCAGACACGACAAATCTAGGCAGTAAGTCATATTCACTCCCTTGCACTCATGAACTAATTTGTTACAGTGTTTACCGATGAACTGGCTCAGATCCTTGGCCTCACACCCGCCGAATATCGTGCCTTTGAAGAATTACAGCTTGCACCTATCTCTATTTCCATCGATTGTCGTAGGTAAGGCCCTTAGTTTCTTTTGCGTAGAATGACACTGATTGTTTTAGATGTCAGAGAAGCGTTTATGTCGACAGAGAGGAGTACAACGCCACAGAGACGATCACGTGCCCACTCCCCGATTGTAACTACGTTTGGTGCAAAACTTGTCAGCAAGAAGTAACTCCTGGAGGGCCGCAACATTCATGTGATGGCTCGGTGGAGATGGCGCATCTTGCCGCTCGAAGTGGCTGGAGACGCTGTCCCAGTAAGTCGTCGTGCCCGCTCATCCTGAACCACCTGAAATCTTGAATAGCGTGCAGAACCGTGTACGAAAAGGTAGCCGGATGCGATCATATGACGGTAAGCAATGTTACTGTTGTTTTTCCTTTCGAGTTTTGACGACATCGTTACAGTGTACAGCGCCGGGATGCAGCACTCATTTCTGTTACCTCTGTGGGGGCTTGATCGTCCGCTCCGTCGTTGGGAGAGAAATTACCGCTGCTCTTGCATACCATAACATGCATTGCCGGCCGCCTGGTGCGCCGCAGCGGTTTTGAGTTCGTGTAACTGTGTCGTTAGTCCAAGTAGTATTTATCTTGTGGTACAATTGACCGGTTAACCCTCAACTCCTTACCCGCTCGTCTCAAACAAGATGCTCCATGACTACAAACCGGCCACCGCCTGCAAGGATCTGCGATGTTTTTTTTTCAAGATTCACTTGCTACAGCTGAGGCATGCATGTTGGTGGAATATAGCTACGTGCTCGGCCCTCGTAGATCTCTCTTATTAGCACAACGGGAGACACTTGCCCAGGAGACGAACACCTGAACAAGTGTTCCGAAAATCTTCAACGTTAGTTGTCTTAGAGATCCGTCGGAGCGCTTGAGGGCTGTTTTGTACTGTTTTCTGTTGAGAAGAGGTTCTTTGACGAGAGGAAGGATATTCAAGCTGATTGAATTCAACGGTCAACCATTGACAGTAAAACACACGGACACACAGTGATTGCATTACATTGGTTTTTGTTTTTTTTATCAAAGAACAAAAGTGAACAGATTCCTGCCCGACAGGAAACCAATTGCGAGACACGTTGGAAGAATTCAAGTTCAAGCTGTGGAATTCGCAAGGAAGGTGACCGGTGTGACTGCGTGATGGGCTGCTTGTTTTTCTAAATTGCCATCGACCCAACAACGAAACTCTCCCATTCGACAATAGAAACGCGACAGACCTTGTCATGGATCTCCAAGGGACTTGTTTTTCACTCGCGAGCGTTAACAATAACGGACCCGCTATAAATTCAAGCTACAGAAAGCCCGACACCTCCCGACACCACCACTTGCACAGACCCAGACACGATGGAGACTGACACAGACTTGGACGCCATTATCTCAAACGAAACAGTTGTTATTTCTCACCCCGGAAGCAGCCAATATCGCACAGGGGGAGTCGCTGCCTGTGGTTTGGCTAGCTTGAACTTCGTGCGAGTCGTTTTCAGCCGTGTGGAAGCCGGCATCACAGGCAGGCAGCTGTTGGCAGATCTGCTTTCGCTGGAAACAAGTGCAGTATGTTAAGCAAAGTCTACAACAAAGGCGGGCACCGAATTCTTATATCCAGGAAATTATCTCCATTTGCTCCGAATGGAGATCGAATGAGCATCTCGAGGTCGAGGAAATAGCCCAAGTAAGTCAACGGAAGGGGATAGTACTTGGTACACTGATCAGCTGTCAATATTAGCTGCCTCTTTTTGAACACGCCCTTGAATTGGATTTATCTGGTACCTTTGGTGTGCCATCGTTTGACCGCTTTCTAAGGATGTACAAGTTAGTAGTCTCTCCTGTGGTATAGTTAATGCGCCTCATCTGCTACCAGGTCCCTGGAAGCCGATCCTCGACAACATATTGCCGTTGTCATAACTCGTCCTCCAGAGATTGTCGCTTGCACCAAGCTTGTCATCGAGAGCAACGCCACAGAATCCAAGACGGTCTTCATCACATTTGACTCGCACCCCAGGCCCGACCACCCGGATGGCGCAGGCTATGTGGTCAACTCGTCCCCAGAGGCTGCTGCAAATTTTCTAAGCACGCTGCTCGCAGTTGACGAGGGTCTGCTTGCGGATGCAGATCTTCAATGGCAAGCCCAGCTACTTGCCAGCTTCTCGGGCCACCTTTTTGCCCCCAAAGCTGGTCCTGTCAATACCCTCACAGGAATGACGAAAGCGCTGATGAACTCCAGTCTGTCGACGCTGAGGAAGCAAGCCGAGGTCAACAGGCTTCACAGCCGGATCGAAAAACTTATGCGAGATCGGGAATTTCTCTTAACCCAGCTGGATAATGCCCGCACACGCGAAGTTGAAACCAACCAAGAACAGATGCAGCCTACGCCTTCTCCAGCACGAGCATCTAGTCACGTTTCACCACCTTCTTGGGATACCAGCGCGACCGTGCAGCAACGCGCTCGAGCTTCGCCTGTCACAAATGATTTCGTTGAATCTGCCAGTGGACGACATCCAGAAACGAGCACACCTGAATTGTCTGATTTTCTGCTAGCGCAGCAGATGCAAATGCGTCTGGACATGGCCAGCATCGTTGAATATGATTCGAGTCCGTCTCCGCCACGCCGAGAAAGCTCGGGCTCGACTCAACGGCGCCATTCAAATATTCGGCGACCACAGGATGCTCGACAGTCAATCAGACGAAGGACCTTTAGGTGTCCACTATGCTTGGAGGATGCCCCAGAAGATGATGTCGCCTTGCTTTCCAACTGTCCCCATCAACTTTGTCGAACCTGCGCAAATAGTTATGTGACTACCAAGATCGCGGACAAGATGTACCCTATCCTGTGTCCTGTGTGTGCCGCGGACCCTGCCACGAGGAATCCAGGAGGTGAGTTATGCTTTGATTCCTTAGTTTCGGCTCACAGATTTGGTCTAGTACTCACGGATGAGCTTGCTCAGATGCTTGGTTTGACAGACGCCGAATATCGGGCCCTTGAACAATTGCAGATGGCGCCTCTCTCGATTTCGATCGATTGTCGCAAGTAAGATTTTTCGGACTGTCTTTTGTCAAAAGCAATGTTGACTCGCTTCAGATGTAAGAGAAGCGTCCCTGTCGATAGAGCAGAGTACAACGCCACAGAAACAATTGTATGCCCACTCCCCCAGTGCAACTATGCTTGGTGCAAATCTTGTCAGCAAGAAGTAACTCCTGGAGGGCCACAGCACTCATGTGACGGTACAAAGGAGTTGCAACGTCTTGTTGCCCGGAGGGGTTGGAAACATTGTCCCAGTGAGTTGTTGATCCACACTGAGTGGACGACCTGTGACACTTTTATAGCCTGCAAAACCTTGATTCAGAAATCGGAGGGATGTGACCACATAACTGTCAGTAGTTATCATCCAATATGCGCCATTTTTACCACTCAGTAACAACAGTGCCCGGGCCCAGGATGTAACACCCATTTCTGCTACTTCTGCGGGAGACTCATTGTCCGCTCTGTGTTCGCCGGAGAGATTAACATGGCTGTCGCTTACCATACCATGCGCTGTCAACAGCGTAGCATGCCGTGGCGATTTTGAGTGCTTTAGCCCTTTGCAATTGGTAGTTTCCGAGTTGTTACCAAGTTGTTTACTCGGAGACCAAACCCAGTCACTCCGGAGTTTACCGTGATTTTGCCTCCCAAAAGTTGATTCAAAAAGGACTAATTTTTGTGCAAAAAATATTTTTACAGAAAACAAATAGTTTCCGCAAAGGGAAAATTTGATACAAACTGGTTAAAGTGGTTTCCCTTTGCAGAAACCATTTGTTTCCTGTAAAAATGATTTTTGTGCAAAAAGTAGTACTTTTTGTATCAACTTTTAGGAGGAAAAATCACACTAAACTCCGGAGTGAGTGCTGTACAAACGGCCGTCCAAATCGGGCGAATGGCCCCAAAACGGCCCCTTTTTTGATTTTGCCTGAAGGGACATTTGATTTGTGACTGAAGGTGCCTATATTCGTACCTGAAGGCACTTAAATTTGCACCTGAGGTCTCAATATTCATGCCTATAGGCATCATTCGTTCTTGCCTGAAGGCATCTTGCAATTTATACCTGAAGGGACTTATAATTGTGCCTGAAGGATAAAAAAACTTGACTATAGGCATTTTCATCGTATAAGTACCTCTGGGGACTTGATGGTGATGTGTTCCAAAAAAGGCAATTTAAATAACATGTCATTTCAACTCATTTAAGCCACTCTCTGCTCATAACACAATGTATCTCATGAAGGGATAATTCATTAAGTTGTATCAGACTGGTTAAAAATGTCCTCAATTAATTACAGCTTGGATTTCTTAGATCATCATATACATCAGTGATGCCAAAGTACAAACCATTTAGACCTATCCTATAGCATCTTGCTCTTGTTGGTTTTCATGCTGTTTCTCTGTTATTTGGTGACTTGCCTATTGTGCTTTGCTTCAGGATTTTGAACGGTAGCCTTTTTTTATATTACTGTCAGGGGAACCTCCCTTTCGGCCCCTCCGAGACGATTCCGATTCCGGTCCGACTCCGGCTCCGACTCCGGTGATCGCATCACCGCCTCCGTCAGGCGCATCGCCGCCCCCGCCTGGCGATCCCCCTGGGACCTGGCCTGCGACATGGCGCAGGCATACTGCACGGAGCAACGATCAACCTTGGCGCGTCAAGAGCGCAGTATATAGTTCCGCTACCTAGCAGGCGGACCCTTAGAGTTTCTTCTCTTTGGATCCTCCCCTGCTAGGTCAGCCTCACTTGTATTTGCTTACTTCTATTCACTCTTTGGATCCTCCCCTGCTAGGACCTTGATCTCAGGCCTCCGGGGTTGCCCTTACAGCAGAAGAAACTCTCTACGGGATCAACCAGACAAGATTGCTAGGTTCGGGCGCTGACTCAGGCTCGGAATACGAGTCCGTTCCGCCCTCGTCACCCCCCCTACCACTTGTCCCCTCCTCCTCTGTCACTCCTGTCATCCCCGCACCTGTCATGCCTTCCGGAGCTACTCCTGACGCTGACACTCGGCTGGATGCACTCGAGGCGAAAATCGACCGCCTAACTGAGGCCCTTACTCTTCTCACCACCCAGGCTTCCGCTGCCGCTGCCGCCGCTAATACTGCTGGCGGACCCCAAACAACACCACCCCCGGAGACGTCGATTCCGACTCCGAGGCCCTCTTTGGCGACATCAACCTCGCCTCAAAATTGGTCTTGCGACCAAACCCTCCGTTCACCTTCAACGGTGATCGGAAACGCGGCCGCGCGTTTCTCTATGCGGTCCGCACCTACGCCCGCCTTGCCCCTGAGGCCTTCGTGGTCAACGGAGAGGCGAGCGAGGAAAAAGGCCGTCCGCTATGCCATGTCGTTTATGGCAGAAGGACCCGCTCAGCAATGGGCGGAGCGCCACGGAAGCAAAGCCCCGTTTCCGTTTCCGTCCTGGGGCTCCGTTCGTTTCCGAGTTCCGACTCCGGTTCGTCGAGGAGAATGAGCAAGATCATGCTCTCTCCAAACTGGAGACTTCCGCCTATCACATGGGCACAAAGGATGTCTACCAGTACACCGACGACTTCGAGGACCTGATGGACCTCGCCGGATTCGAATACGCGTTGGTCAAGGTGACCAAGTTCCGCCACGGACTTGACCCCCTGATCAACAACGGAATCACGTCCTCGAACGACCCCCGGACCTCTGGGACTACCTTAGCTGGCGCACCCGGCCTTCCGTCAATACGAGGCCCTGGTCCGGGCCAAGCTGATCAAGTCAGCCGCCCCCAAGACGCCTGGCGGTTTGATTCGGACTCCGTTTCCGGTCAACCGCATCCCGGCTCCGGCCCCTTTCCGCCCGGTGGCTCCGGTCGTGCCACCCGTGGCCCGCGCCCCCCTCCGGCGCCTCCAGCTCCCGTCCCCATGGAGTTGGATCGCACTAGGGCTCGGGGTGCCCCTCGTCGCGCCTGCTTCAGGTGCGGCGACCCAAACCATCTCGCCGGGATTGCCCCCTCCCCGGGACGTCCGCTCAATGGACATCCTCGACGAGGTGATCCAACAACTCGGTGACAAGATGTTAGCGGAGTTGATCGCCCGCTACTCGGACACAGCTGCGCTGCCGGAAACAGTCGCGGAGTCGATGGCCGGAGAGGATTTTGTCCCCTGACGAGTGACTGGTGTGCCCTCGTTCGCGTCCGTAAATCGTTTCGCTTGTTTGTATGACGAATCAATTCCTTTGCCCTACAACGAGCCTGAAACGAAAGACATACCCTCCCCCGCCCCGTTTCGACTCCGTCTCCGACTTCGCCCGCGACTCCGGTCATCGTCCTTCGCCGCCTCACTGCCTGGGAAAGAAACTGCCCAAGCAGTACACTGTCGCTGCTTCCCCTGGAGTGAACTCCCTCCACCTCCCGTTGGAGCTAGAGTCCACTACCAGCGCTTAAGCTCTCGCTCTCTGGCCTGGTTGACTGTGGTGCCACCTCCGACTTTATCGACACGAACTATGTCGCTCGGAATGGCATTCCGGTCCGCACCCTGGCGCAACCGATTCCGGTCTTTAACGTTGATGGCACTCCGAACGACGCCGGCTCCATCAACCAGATCGCGGACTTGGTCTTACGCTACAAAGGCCATTCCGAGCGTGTTCAACTCGCCGTCACTCATCTTGGTAAACAAGACCTTATTCTGGGGTACTCCTGGCTGCGGAAGCATAACCCGGAAATCAATTGGGAAACCAAGGAGGTCAAGATGACACGGTGCCCCCGGGTTGCTCCACTTGCCGCGAGGAAGAACGCATTGAACGGACTGAGCTACGGCGACTCCGGCTGCTCCAGAAGCGACTCCGCTCCGGCCCGTTCCCCTCGGTCTGCACCATGGACCTCTCTGGGCCTGACGACGGAGACGATTCCGTCTCCGGTGACGACTCCGCCCTGCCTGATCTGATGCCGGACTCCGACGATGATGAAGACGATGGTCAGCTTGAAGATGGTGACCGCATCTTCTACACCTCGTTCCGCCCCTCGGAGGAGATACGCGGCTGGCAGTACTGTCTCACAGCGCCTGGCCGAAGCCTTCGCCAGGAACTCCGCCCCTGCGCCTCCAAGATCCCGGACTGGGCTAAGGAGTTTCAGGACGTCTTCAACAAGGAGTCCTTCGACACGCTACCGGAGCGGAGAGCCTGGGACCACGCCATTGAACTCGTCCCCAACGCTAAGCCCACCAACTGCAAGGTGTACCCCATCTCGCCCCTCGAGCAACGCGAGCTCAACGCGTTCATCGAGGAAGGGCTTTCAACGGGCCGGATTCGCCCCTCCAAGTCTCCGATGGCGTCTCCGGTCTTCTTCGTCAAGAAGAAGGACGGCGGACTCCGCTTCGTCCAGGACTACCGTGCTCTCAATGCGATGACTGTCAAAAACCGGTACCCCCTTCCGCTGATCAACGACCTCATCAACCGGCTCAAAGGCGCTCGTTACTTCACCAAACTCGACGTCCGTTGGGGCTTCAACAACGTCCGGATCAAGGAAGGTGACGAGTGGAAAGCGGCTTTCCGGGGACTAACCGAGGCCTGTTCGAGCCCTTGGTGATGTATTTCGGCCTGACAAACTCTCCCGCGACGTTCCAAACGATGATGAATGACATTTTCCAGGACCTCATCCTCTCCGGAGACGTCATGATCTACCTTGACGACATCCTGATCGCCCATTCCGACCTCCGGAAACACCGGCAGATCGTTCAGGAGGTCTTGCGGCGACTCCGAGAGCACAAGTTGTACCTCCGAGCGGAGAAGTGCGACTTTGAAAAATCGTCAATCGAGTACCTCGGAGTCATCATCTCCCACAACCACATCGAAATGGACCCCGTCAAAGTCGCAGGCGTCTCCGCTTGGCCGACTCCGGAAAACAAGAAGGACATTCAGCAGTTCCTTGGGTTCGCTAATTTCTACCGCAGGTTCATTCGGGACTTCTCGACCCTCGCGCCCCCTCTCTTCGTGCTCACCAAGAAGGACCAGCAGTGGACTTGGGGCGACGCGGAGGCCTCCGCGTTCCAAGCGATCAAGGACGCAGTCACCTCGGAACCGGTCCTGGCGATTCCGGACGACGCACGGCCTTTCCGACTTGAGGCGGACAGCTCTGATTATGCGACGGGGGCGGTTCTTTCACAATCCGCCCCGGACGGGAAGTGGCACCCTGTAGCATTCTATTCCAAAAGCTTAAATGATGTCCAGCGCAACTACGAAATCCACGACAAGGAGATGCTCGCGATCATCCGTGCACTCGAGGAGTATAGACACTTCCTCGAGGGCGCCGCGCATCCCGTCGAGATTTGGACTGACCATAAGAATCTGGAGTACTTCAGGAAGACGCAGCACCTCAACCGGAGACAGGCCCGCTGGTCCCTCTACCTCTCCCGGTTCGACTTCACGCTGCACCACAAGCCCGGCCGCGACATGGGCCGACCTGACGCCCTCTCTCGGAGACCAGACCACGGAATCGATTCCGACAACTCCGACGTCGTCCTTCTGCGGCCCGAACTCTTCCATGTCCGCGCTCTCGAAGGCTTTCCGTTTCCGGCCCTGGTTCTGAACTCCTTCGCGACATCCGCGATGCCCTCTCCGGTGAGCCTGACCTGGAGGAGCCCGTCGCACTAGCGGCCCGGCAACTCCTAAAGGTCCAAGGTCAAGCTCGAGGCCCCCGCTCCTCGCGCTCCGACGAGTGGGCTGTCTCCGGTGGTCTTCTTCACTTTCGTGGGAAGATTGTCGTACCTAAGGATAAGGACCTCCGGAGACGCATCATCGAGCTCTGCCACGACACTCGAAGTTGCCGGACACGCGGGTCGCTTCAAGACCTTGGAGTTGGTCTCCCGGAACTACTGGTGGCCTCAGATGTCTCGCCATATTGGCCGGTACGTCGCGACCTGTGACTTGTGCTGTCGCACCAAAGCACTGCAGAGACTGCCCCACGGAGAGCTGCACCCGACGGAAACGCCCCCAGAGCGTTGGCATACCGTCTCCGTCGACTTCATCGTCGAGCTTCCGGAGGCCCATGGGTACGACGCGATCATGGTCGTCGTCGACACCCTTGGGAAGCGTGCCCACTTCTCGGAGTGTCACACCACGGTCGACGCAGTAGGGGCGGCTCGCCTCTACTACCGGAATGTCTGGCGCCATCACGGGACTCCGGAGAAGTACGTCTCCGACCGCGGCTCGCAGTTCATCGCGGACTTCACCCGAGAACTCTGGCGTCTAATCGGCATCAAGCCTGCCACGTCCACCGCGTACCACCCGCAGACAGACGGTCAAACAGAGCGCGTCAACCAGGAGCTGGAGCAGTACCTGCGGATCTTTACCAACTATCAGCAGGACGACTGGGATGAGCTGATTCCGGCCGCGGAGTTCGCCTACAACAACCACGTTCACTCCTCCACGCAACAAGTCCCCTTCATGACGGACACGGGACGACTCCCGCATGGGCTTCGAACCCGGAGTCCGTTCCGCTATGGAGTCCGTGAAACGAGTTCCGCGACCGGATTGCCACTGGTGTTGCCGAGCCAAGGCCGCTCACTAAGGCCAAAGAGGAGTACAAGCGCTACTACGACCGGAGACGCACTCCGTCTCCGGAGTTTAAGGTTGGCGACCGTGTTTGGCTGGATGCCTCTGACATCAGGACGACTCGCCCCTCGGAGAAGTTCTCCCACCGCCGCCTCGGACCATTCAAGATAGTCGCGGAGATCAGCAAAGGTGCCTACAAGCTCGACCTCCCTCCGCGCTACTCGAAGCTCCACCCGGTCTTCCCCGTCGTCAAGCTGGAGCTCGCCCAAGACGACCCCTTCGATGGACGCCCCGGCTACGACCAGCCCCCTCCGGACCTCGAGGACGGAGTCCCGGAGTGGGAAGTAGAGGAAATCCTGGACGCAAGGGTGAGGTATAAACGGCTGAATTACTCGTCAGATGGAAAGGCTACGACGCGTCGCATGACCAGTGGGTCCGCTTCGACCGCGTCTTCGCCCCGGAGAAAATCGCGGAGTTCTATTGTAAGTACCCTGGCAAACCACGGCACATCGCCTCTGCAACCTTCGACTCGATTCCATTCCGGTCTATGCGTCGGGACGCCGCATTCAAAGGGGGGGTGATGTCAGGGGAACCTCCCTTTCGGCCCCTCCGAGACGATTCCGATTCCGGTCCGACTCCGGCTCCGACTCCGGTGATCGCATCACCGCCTCCGTCAGGCGCATCGCCGCCCCCGCCTGGCGATCCCCCTGGGACCTGGCCTGCGACATGGCGCAGGCATACTGCACGGAGCAACGATCAACCTTGGCGCGTCAAGAGCGCAGTATATAGTTCCGCTACCTAGCAGGCGGACCCTTAGAGTTTCTTCTCTTTGGATCCTCCCCTGCTAGGTCAGCCTCACTTGTATTTGCTTACTTCTATTCACTCTTTGGATCCTCCCCTGCTAGGACCTTGATCTCAGGCCTCCGGGGTTGCCCTTACAATTACAAGTAACTTGAATTCATCTCAGTTTCTTCAAGTAATGATAGGCCTGAGGGCATTTTTATTTGCTACTGAAGGGAAAGAACAAAACTCACTACAGGAACAAGAATGAGCTGTCCTGCAGTGACCAGAACTTACACTGAAGGGGCAAAACATAATGTACTGTAGGTTTAATGCACTTGCACCTGAGGGAACAGAAATTGTGCCTCCAGGCATGAAATTGAATGCCTGAGGGAGCATAAAATATTGCCCTCGGGCACGATCTTTCGTCCCTGAGGGCGCATTGGATTTTGCCCGAAGGCAACTTTTTTGTCACTGGGCCGTTTTGGGGCCGGCCCATCAATGGGCCGTGACTCGTACAGCACCAGTGCCTATCTGTTTACTCGAGCGATGTGATTGCCTGGAGCAATATTGATGCAGATGCCTGATGGCCAACTTTCACCCAAACCCCCTGGTGGGCTGTTTACTCCCAAATAAAACGTTCAACTATCGACCTCTGGACTCCGCACGCTTCTCGAAGGCACCATAGTAAACGAGCTTGACGCGTGGAGGCCTCATTTCGGGTTATCGATTTGACTATAAACCCCGCAATCTGAAGGACTTGAAACTGACCATGTCTTCAAACACAACATCCAAGGCAAAGCGCCCGTCCCATATCCTTCATCGCACACCGTGGATCCCCCCTGTCGCTGTGTCTGCCCAAGGTCTCTATATCGAGCTTGAGAATGGGCAAAAGCTTCTCGACGCAATGGGTGGCGCAGCTGTGGCTTGTCTTGGGATGGGTCATCCCGCCGTAAATAAGGCACTTCATGAGCAAGTTGACCGCGTCTCGTGTATGTTGAACCTGCCGATTCCATTTGTCTCCTCTCAGTCCTGAAAACAGATGTCTACAACATGCAATTATCAAACCAGCCCGCCGAAGAACTCGCAAAACTCCTCGTCGATACTTCTAATGGCGCTTTTGAGCTGGTCGGGTATGCTTCTGGAGGTAATCTTGTCACTTTTGTAATATTCGTCAATAAACCCCGCGCATTTTAGGTTCAGAAGCAATGGAGGGAGTTATCAAGCTCGCGCGTCAGTACTTCCATGAGACTGGTCAACCAAAACGGACCAACTTCATCGCGCGGAACTTGTCTTTCCACGGCAACACCGTCGCGACGCTTTCTCTCGCTTATCACCCCACTCGACGAGCACCGTACGCTGCGATTCTAGACGACAACCATTTCCATCATGTTTCTCCGGCCTACGCAAAGCGCTTCAAACATCCTGGTGAATCTGACGAAGAATATGTTGAACGACTGCGCGCTGAACTAGAAGCGAAATTCATTGAACTTGGCCCAGACACCGTGATCGGATGTGCGTTGGCTTACTATCTTCTCCGAGTTCCACCTCATCTGTATTATTTCAGTTGTTGCGGAGACTGTTGTCGGAGCATCTACTGGTGTTTTGCCGGCGCCGAAGGGCTATTTCAAAGCGATGAAGTCTGTTTGTGAAAAATATGGCGCTCTTTTCATCCTTGATGAGGTTATGAGCGGTATGGGGCGGATGGGAACTCTGCATGCGTGGGAGTCTTTTGGCGATGGTGAAGCAGTGAGTGTCGTCGCTCTGTCAAGTTACATGTTCCAGAGCTTGTTCAGCCAGACATTCAAGCTGTTGCAAAAGGGCTTGGTGGAGGCTACGCATCGATAGGCGCGGTGTTGATGTCGAAGCGGATTGCGACAGGTCTACGGGATGCCTCTGGTCTCTGGAAACACGGTCATACATACCAGGTTCGGGCACTGGTATTACAGTGCAAGTGCGACCTAAAGCTCTAGTGACAGGGGAACCCGTTGTCCTGCGCTGCCGCACTGGCTGTTCAAAAGGTTATCGCATCCGAGAATTTACTCGAAAACATTCGAGTCCAAGGCGCATACCTTGGTTAGTCAAAAAGTATCGCTGGACATCAAATCGCTGATTGACACTCAGAAAAATTGCTTAACGAGCGTTTACTTTCCCCAAATTCTCCTGCAGCGCCATTTACTTTTGACATTCGAGGAGGTGGTGGATTTTGGGGTATTGAGTTCGATTTTGGCTGCACAGAAGCGCAGAGCTACGACCTGTGCGGTAAAAGCTTTGCGATGATGGTGCAGGAACACGCCATAGAGAACGGACTTATCGTCATGGGTATGAGCGGGACAGCCAGTCTTGATGGGAGCAAAGGGGATGTGATTTTATTGGCCCCAGCTTACAACGTAACTACAGAAGAGATCGAGGCGATTGTGAGGATGTTTGGGGACTCAGTGGAGGCAGTTTTACAGGCACATCGTGTTTAGATAAAACCCATATGGCAGTACATGTGACATGCTATCGGAGCAAGGTCAATACCCCCGTGTTGTCTCGCGGTCGGGCTCGTGCTAATGCATGCTTTTCGGAATACTCGACAGTGGTCCCGCGACCCATCCGGAGAAGGCCCTCGACTGGTCTCTGATTTTTTATTCGGCGACGCCATTGGTAATAATGTATATAGGAAAAACTATCTGACAATTCACTGTGCCATCGCAACTTGTGCCCCTCACTTGCTTGTCTTAACTTGAACCACAATGTCCTTTGCTCAACGCTACGACAACCTTCATTCCTCGCCAGTCTCTTCGTCCGCCTCGCTGGCAGCATTGGACTTCCCTATCGATACCGCTGTTGCTTTGCAAGTTAAGCGTGGACTCCCGACTAAGCAGAGGTTGAAGGCAAAGGTAGCTAGGCGTGCGCACGATACAGGTGTGTTTCCTTTTCACAGTCTTGCCCTACTAACTCTTCGATCAGGCCCTGCTCTTCACTCTGCACGACCGCCTCCTCTTCTCTCTCCTCGTCGGCCCTCTTTAACGAAACAACCACGCAAGGTCATCGTTCCTCAAAATCATCGCTTCCAGTCTCGTGCACCTTCCACCGCCACTCTCTCACGTCAATCTATAACCTCTACGCAGCAATACTTGGATCCCTTCCTCTCCATTAGCGGGCGTATAAGGCCTGATGAAGACCCTACCTTGGTGTTGCCGTGTTCCAGTCCTTGTACTCCTGCCCTCCGATCCACTTCTGTGTCTTTCGAAGCCAACGATATAATTTCGCTTGTCCAAGAGCCTTCTGCATTATCCTTACTTGCAACCGTCGCCTTTGATGCCTCCTTTCTTCCTAAACCTCCAGCGAAGCACCAACCACCCTCGGACTTGGCAGTGCTCGCTTGTGTAGCTGCAGCACAACCACTTCCACTCGCACAGCCCAGCAACAGACGACGCCCATGGGAGCTGTAACGATTGGATCTTTTGCATTAGTTCTGGGTTTCATTCATTTTGCGGTGGCTCGTATCTTCTTGTACCCATAAAGACCTTGATGTACCCTAATCTACATTTGTATATTTTACACGACACAACCTTTCAGACTCAAGTTGAAATAAGCTGACCGCCAGCCATGGTCTGCGTGAACATTTGGAAAGCAGCTTCACCAGTCTTCAAACCAGTTTGAGCATTCTTTGAATTTGTCAGCTTGATATTTGAACCCTCACAAGGCAAATACCTGATACGCAGGCACCTCATGTCCCGCACCGCTGACACGCAGATATGAGAAGTTACCTGCGTTCTTGACTAGCCCCGCCTTTTTCCCGTTTACAGTATAGGTCGCGAAGGCTTGACTTTGGAAAGTGGTCGAGATCTGGTTGCTCATGACAGCCAGCATGTCCTCGACGCCCTGGTAGTTCACGATGAAGTCCGCATCGCCGTTATACAGAGTCACTCGAATACCGGCGTTAATAATGGTGTTGAGATTTGGAAGCTGGCTCCGCATCCAATCGCCGGTAGAAGCGAAGTTGTTGTAAACAGCGTCGCTGCTCTCGGCCCAGCTGACTTCTGCACCGATGGCGCTGCGGACCGAGGCGAGCCAGGAGGTTATATCGGCCGGGTATGGGTCGTCGCTTCCGGCGGGAACGTAGTAGATGTCGTGATTGCCAACAAGTGGACTGAGAATGTTGTTGTTGCAGTAGCTTTGCGCGGCTGAGCAAACCGAGTTAGAGCCTCCGTTGTTACACGCGGTTATTTGTGCTTTGCAACCGCTGCTAGAAGACCACGCGCTCGATGCCCGGTTGATGGTGGAGGTAGAAACAAGCGCGCCGTATGGGTTCGACGTGGCATAGGAGATATAGCCTGGGTATTGGGAGATAGCGTCTGTGAGACCATTGCCGATGCCCAATGTCTTGAGGTTGAGCTTTACTCCACTGACGGTTCCAGCAGCAATGGCAGAGTTCTGAGAGAGGAAATATGTCGCAAATGCCGGTCCGTAGTGACCACCCTGGAAATGTTGTTTTAACAAAGAGCTCTCATTAGCAGAGAAAAACATGCATAAGACTCGGTCCAGATGGCGACGTCAGCTGTTGTGAGGCGCGAGAAACGCGAATCAGCGAGGAATATTTGAAGGAAACTCCAAACATCCGCGGCAGCAGCCTGTGAATATGTAAGCAAGGTTACAGTCCTACAAGTAGTAGCAACACTTCTTACCTGCGAGGTTCCAACCGATGTTGTCCCGTGAGAAAAGCCAGCCCCGACAGGCTGGTCGATGACCAACAAGTTTGAGTTCACGTTCCATGAGAAGTCGTTCAAGGTAACACTTTTGCTGTTGTTCGTGATCCGACACGGCCCAAGCTCCTGCACGAGCCCATACATGCTGGAGCTTCCGGGCTATATATATAATGTTAAGTGGAGGTCAATATGGTCATGAAGGAGACACGTACACCACCATTGAACCAGAGTGAAAGCGGTGCTGTCGACGCGTTGTTTCTGGCGTCGAAGTACCAGAAGCTATATGACACGTCAGCCAGTGGTTACAAGAGAAAGAGTGAAGAAGGTGCCGACAAGATGCTTTTCGACGAAGTAAGATCGCCGTAGCCAGATGCTTGGTATACACCCTTGGTTGTCTCTACAACGAGTTGGATGTGATGATTCAGGTGCGAGGCAGAGGACAAACCACAGATTCCAGAGTTTTCCGTGACTCTTAGCTTCCCCGGGGTTGTTGCAAGTGGGCTGAGTGTGGCCTCCTTCAACTGAGCGGTGTTGTTGCGAACGCCGCCGATAACGCCATCTACGACGGGAAACTGTCCTTTGCGCTGGCCAGCGAGAACAACCGGCAGAGCCACAAACGTAGAAGCAGTCCAAGTGAAGAAACGCATCGATAAGAGTTTGAGAAGATTTCTGTGCACTCTATGGTCGACATTTTATATCGGGTTACGAGCTCGAGCTTCTCCATCGGACGTATCAAGGACGGGCAGAGCTGACCCAAGTTGAGCCATGTTATCGCTGGAACCATGCGTTAGATAGCCAGCAGCGCATGCCAAGCCATATGGCGGGCTTGGCTATGGTGGTTCTACGCACGCTGCGCATTTGATGAGGAAGTCAAGAGCAACAATCAAACGCGATCCCGTGATGAGTGCAAAGGGGTGACCGCAGATCTAGAAGAAATTCAAGATTGAGTAGCACGAAGATACAGTATTGCAGAATATTGCCTTAAAGTTACTGTAAACAGACCAGCTCCATCTCTAATGGCTTTCAGTAACTCGATGACTTTCTCTGGGCCACTGTCACAGAGTAGTCACATTTTCTCTTTTGAACCACCATGACACCCGTGTACTGGCGATCCCTTTCCCGACCCTCATCCTTTTTCTTTGGAGGTCTTCCAAAAGACGTCTCCCTCGAGGTAAAAGACACGCTATCTTGGGTTCCAACTCGAACTACCCAGCGCGTTTTTGTAGATTTTAAAAGGTTGCAGCCCGTTTGATCTCACAGTGTTAGAGAGGACCTCTCGTTCGATCCGAAATCTTATTCACGATAATCCAAACATCTGGACCCACGTCTTCCTTCAATTTTCGTTCAGTTCTTGCCCCCCCTTGCCCGAACCTCCGACACAGACTATATCCAAGGGTAATTTCTCCCCTAGCGCCTACGCGAGATGGATTTTTGGGGAGAATGAGTGCTCTGTGAGTAATTCAACTCAATGCTCTTCTTCTGTTCTCACCGCTCATTTAGATGTGTTCCCGTCTGACGACATCGTTACCGTTTGATTTTGTGCTCCGCCTCCGCTCATGCTCAGTAAGATATTCGACATACTTAGTTGTCTGGACATGACAGAACTAATCGTCATCAAGGCGAGATGCCGCCAGAACATTGTAAAGTCCGTGTCGTCTTCCTCTCATAGCTCAAGCCAGTCTCATTCATCGCTAGTGATATGGCGCGTCCTATTAGTGACTTGTATCAATATCCGAAGAAGTCCCCTTGGGTGTTTTCTATCCCCCAAATTCTCTCGACCAGTGGCAGTGGGGAGAGTGTTACGAGCCAGAGACTGATCAAAGCTGCCACTCGGGAGATCCACAACGTGGTTTCTGGAAAACACCCGCATTACGAATGCTTTGAGGATTTGAAGGCCGTATGTTTGTTCTAAACAGCCCTTTGAATCCTTGCTGAATCTTATTCAAGGAATATGCGAAACGCGCTCATGATCGCCCCCTCGTTGAGAATGTGATGTGGTCCGTGTGTTACTCGGAGACGAACTCAAAATTTCTTCCAGCTCGGGCATCAATTGAGCCTGAACTGGGCACCATTCTATGTTACGGAGCACCAGGTGGTGTTACGTCGCAATCTCGAGTTGTGAGTACCTGCCACTTGAAACGTCATGTGCGTGATATCAAAATTCACTTCAAGTATCCGATCCATGGCCAAGATGGAAAGAATCAAACATCAGACCGCTTTGCACTGCCCAAGGCTGAAAAAGCTTCTCATCACTTTCAACAGAGACCTCTCCCTTTTGACGCTGAGCGGTTCGTCTCGATTACCTGTTATGGCTTCTGTTTGATCAAGTGGCAGTCTGGGTTCACAATCGAATCGAAATCCTGACCGAGCTGAACACGATGCTTGGTGGTCGAATCCGACGTCCAGAAATTGCCAATACGGAGGAAATAGACTGCCCCGTTTGCAACGAAGTCTTCCGCGTTATTGGGATAATGGATCACGTTATCGAAAGGTATCGTATCATACTTGTTGCCTCCTTCTATTGCTTATAAGATCTAGTCATCCAGAAATCGATCCCAACGAGTTTTCTCTCAAGCCAAAAGACGTGGTCTACTGCAGGCAATGTGTAGGAGCCGACCGTCGTAGAATGTTTACCTTGGCCGGCCTTGAGATGCACAAGACTTCCGAGTGCGTTTTCCTGTGTTCCTGTTTCTCAAGCTTACAAGTCCGCAGACACGATCCATCTCACCTCAAAGTCTCTTGTGATCTATGCGAACCCACTACTCGGAACAAACAGCGGAAATTCTCGTCGGCTGGCCTCGCTGCCCACATTTTCGCCAAGTATGTTGCGACTTGTTCATATTTTAACCAGTTACTCATCTAATCATGTTAGACATCCGGGCCAATAACTGAGTCGTTCATTATTTTTCGATGTGTATATATCTGTTGTATCCAATGGTTGCAAACGGAAAGAAGTTCTTGATAAGATACCAAGTAAATGATAGCGACACGCCATCTGTTGCGACTCAGTGTTCTCGAGAGCTTGTCTTTTTAATGTGAGTCGCCCAACATGTCAAAAGTGCCAGTGACGAGGGCTGGTCGCGAGGCGTGGGGGGGTTCGAAGAAGCGCGAGAACCAGACAAGTGTAAGAAGATCTACATTTGTCATCCATTGCCAAAAAAAGGTCGTCCGTGTGTACATCTACAGGAAAAGACAAAGAAAAAAGGAAACAAGCGTTTGTACACAGATAATATATGTCCCCAAAGTCGTCCTACGACTGATGATTATAGAGCTGTAGTGGCCTTCTTCCCTGACTTCCTGGCTTCTTGCCCGGGATGCGTATTACGAGGCGCGGAAGGTTGAGTATTGATTTCAATGGCTTTGAGTCGGACGGAGCCACGGGTTCAGACAGAGGAAATTCGAGGGCAGCTTGATATGCTGCGACGGCAGCCAGGTATCGAAGGTCACATCGGTCGGTGTTAACGGAAGCAAGTGTCGGGATAGGTTGAATGGAGCTGGTGACCTCCTCCGAGGGTAACGTAGAGACGTGAGACCAGGCAGCAGAACGATCACATTCCAGATATGGCCGTGTTGCAGCGATAGTCGCGAGAAACTCAAGAGGGTTGGATGTGGACAGAGTGGGTTGGGCGGATGGCGATTTTACAGGGACCGGAGTTTGGCCTGGGCGTTGTTGTTCTTGTTGTCGAGCAAGCGCATTCTGAGAGAGCGAGCGAGAAGGTGGTGGTTGGTTAATCTTGCGACGACGACGAGTGGCTTCTGGTGGTATGACTGTTGGCGAGGCGGCCCAGGTGACTGCCTTCGGTTGTGCTGACTTTCTCCAGCCAATATTGACGTCGCCGTGGGAGGGTCTGCATCGATGATTGGGTAACTGAAAGCGTATGCCAGGGAGAAAGAAACACACTTCTTGGAAGAAACAGCGAGTCCTGAACCCAGCAAGTTGTTCGACGCTCGCGTCACTCGCCTCGTCGTCGGCATCGTACAGGGTTTGAAGCAAGGGTGTCACACAGAGGTCACCGCTCAGTACAAAATGTCTATCGAAATACAGGTACAAATGTTTGCTTATAGCCATTCTACAGTCTAAACAGGGAATTAGATGGGAAATATATTTCCATAGTTGGAAACGACGTACAGCAGGTGGCTTGGACGAGATATCATACGTTACGCGGTTGATGCCAGGCACCTCGTTTGTTATGCGCGACGAAATCCGTCTGAGGATTTCTGGAGGGAAGACATACCAGTCCGCTGTCATGAAGTCCTCTGTTTGGACGGCACGCAAAGCGATGACTTGTTCATATGTCCTGGCGTCCCCCATAACACCGACTGCCCTTACGGGTAATAGAACCGCAAACGCTTGAGAGATTTGATCATAGAGGCCAGCCTTGCGGATCTCTTCAATGTAGATGCTGTCGGCCAGTTGGAGGATTTTGACCTGCTCTCGTGTTACTTGCCCCAGGATGCGGATAGCGAGACCTGGGCCAGGGAATGGGTGTCGTTGAACGAGTGGGGCCGGAATGGAAAGTAAACGACCAAGGGCACGGACTTCGTCTTCGGAGAGCAACAGTCAGAATGTCGCTACAAAGACAACAACAGAACTAACCCTTGAATAATTCGCGTAAAGGCTCGATAAGCTTCAGCTTCATGTCCTTCAGCAATCCACCGACATTGTGGTGGGTTTTGATCGTCGCGCTCGGCCCTTTGAAGCTGATGCTTTCAATGACATCCGGGTATAGTGTGCCCTGCAAGAGCCATTCCACGCGGCCTTTCGCAGCAGCACCAGCTGCTTCCTCCGCCTCTGCTTGGGCTTCGATCTCTGCTGCCTTGGCTTCAAAGACATTGATGAACGTGTTGCCAATAATCTTGCGTTTCTGTTCCGGGTCTTCAACGCCATCTAATCGGGAGAGGAAGAGATCGGAGGCGTCAACAACGGTAAGGTTGACACCCAGATCCTTGTTGAGCATCTCGTAGACTTGTTTTGCCTCGTTGAGACGCAGCACACCGTTATCAACCATGATGGCATGAAATCTACATATCAATACGTTAGGTAGCAAAGAAAGAGTATCAGACGCACCTATCCCCGATAGCCTCATGCATTAGCTTCGCAGCTACAGTGCTGTCCACCCCGCCACTTACGGCGCCAACAACACGTCCTGTAGGCCCACAAATCTCTCGTATGCGCGCAATCTCCTTGCCGATGAACTCCTCCTAGGTACGGAATTGATGTTAGACCAACGCATTCAGTGCTGAAGAGTTTTACTCGCCATTGTCCAGTGTTGTTGGCATCCGCAGATGTCCAGGATGAATTTGCCGATGACTTCTTTCCCTCTCGGTGAATGGGTAACTTCGGGGTGGAATTGTATGCCATAAAACGGCTTGGAGTCGTGCGCAAGGGCTGCATAGGGAGCCGTTGCAGTTACCCCAATAACATGGAACCCTGGCGGGGGAGCAGACAGTTGATCACCATGCGACATCCATACCTGACCAGTTCTAGGGTTAGGGTTAAGTTTTCCTTGGGCAATAACACACCTGCATTTCGTCCCCTAGACCGTCGAAAAGCGCATCGACAGAAGAACTGCTGCCGATTTTGGTTATTTTAAGATGAGCGAACCCGTATTCACGGTGATCACACTTGTCGACAGTGCCTTTCAGCTGCCAGGCCATTTCCTGCCCTTGTAAGCCACAGGAAAACTGGTAGAAAGGTTTTGCACACCTGTAGGCCATAACATATCCCAAGGATCGGAACGCCCAGGTCGAACACAGCAGGATCGACATGAGGCGAATCTTTATCGTACACTGAATAGGGTGAGCCCGAAAGGATTATTCCTGATTACAGATAAGAGGAAGAAGTGAGGAAACGGTCGAATCGTTACCTTTTGGTTTGAACTTAACGTCCTTGATCTGAGTTGTGCAAGGCAAGAGTTCCGCGTAGACGTTGTGTTCTCGACAGCGTCGCGTTATCAAATGGCTGTACTATTGGCAGTGTGTTCAACAGGTCCTCTTGTGGAGAAGACATGCTGACTTGCGATCCAAAATCAAGGATGAGGATGGTATCGAACTGGTCGTGAATCGCCGCCATCGTGTAAAAAAGTTGACGGTCAGCAAATGGTCACACTCACGTGAGATGGTGACACACTTTCTCAGCAACCACCAACTTGAAACTTTTGGGTCGCAAACTCCTTAGCTAAAAATGCGGTCCACGATCGTTCCTCACATTGCAAAATCACATACCGCCTACAGAGCCGAGAAAACAGTGTGCTTCTGAACTCAGCCTCCTTCGTGATGCGACTGGTTCAGTGGTTCCTGAGCAAAAATTCAAGAGGAAAATAGGAAGGCTCCATCCATCTCGACAACAGCACAATTCACTGTCCTGTGTAGTGCTATCACTTCTGCCAAGATGATGGACTACACAAGGCCAAAATAGTCCTAAAATGCTCAATTACAAGTCGTTTACCACCACCACCACAGTGCTATCGTGGACATATCACTGAAATATTCTACGCCGACGCTGTCACAGATCGAAGCTTCGGTTACGACGAAACTACATATCTCTTTGATTTGTGCAAAACTTAGTAGCTCTCTGACGACCGATGTAACCACCTTGTGCTCCGCGTGACCTATCGTCGTCCACCGATAATACTCGAGAGCAGTCAAATTGAAGAAGACTGAGACTCGCATGCTTTACTATAGGTCAACTCCGCCTGCGGAGTGCAAATGACACCGCTCAGCTCGTGATGTATCGCTGTGGGTTGCTCATTGGTTTTGCCACCTAGAAACTCCGGAGAACAGTCTGCAATTGAAATCAAGTTCCAATGTCGGTTGTGCCATGCACTAAGTGATTATTCACCGTAGTCAAGGACCCTGCGAACCCGTTGGTGACCACGGGAGGCCGCCCACGAGCCGCATGACGCCAAATGTTTATTTCTCAGGTTCGTGGTACTCCTCCGAACTATTTTTCCAATCGCATCTCACATCGAATCTCGAATCAGCTAAAATAAAGGGCACTAGTGTGTCGGATTTCACAACAAATCAAAGTTTAGTCGCCCGTAGGCTGTCGGGAAGTTTTGTGCTGATATTTTACACACACTATATACGTACGATTAGTCGATGCATCACCCCCCCTACAAATCATCGAACAGGAAGGTACACTACGATAGCCGTGGACAAGTAGTAAGTAGTCGCCCAGGAAACAAGATGATAAGTTAGCGCCAAACAAGAAGAGCAACGACCTCGGGGAAAGGGAACGAAGCGGAAAAGGAGTGGATGTAAGTACAATTGCGCGGTGGGGCAGTAATATTTCAGTCCAAGAGAGAGTGATGGGAGCAAGGCGGTCGAAAAAGCAGGTATACATATAGGACGTGGTATGTGTGGGTGTTTAGATGCAAGAGATGATAGCGCTAACCTGGACTTGGACAGAGAATAAATGCAGTCCCTGGCCATCGAAAAAGCAGACTATGACCATAATGGGCATGTCGGGGGCAGAAAGGCAGGGAGAAACAGTCGATTGTTGACGGAATTGGTTGAGTATGGGCTTCCGGCAAGCAAGGAGGTTACTTGAGATAGTAGTCTCGGGAGAGACAATCCTGACAATGGAATCGACAAAGACCACTTTCGAACTTGGCCAGAATCGTTTTGAACGGCGGAGAGCCACAGGAGAGGCAACCAAAACCTGCACATCGGCATCTCCAAATTGCAGTTCGGGAGTGGACTCTATGTCTGCATCCATGACTTCGAGATCCGATTCTGTTAAAATGCAAGCAACGGCCGGAAATCGGGCCGCGAATGTGCTAGGACTGGAGTTGTGGCTGTAAGTCGAGTGATGGAGCTCCGATTCTGTTGTGTCGCCTGGTTCACTACCACTGGCCCGGCCACCAGAGCTTTCACCGCTGGCGCGTGTTTGACCACTAAAATCGCGACTGCTATTTGTGGTCGACCCAACATCGGGCTGATTAGTAAACCATGAACCAAGAGGCTCGGTTGTCGTCAATGACTGTTCTGGTCTTGACAGGGGCGGTGGTGGCGGGAAAGCAGTATAGGCTGGCTGTGGTGGTCCACGTCGACTCGAGGATCGAGACGGTTGCTGTTGCTGTTCTTGTCGTCGAATATCAAGCGGTGAGCTCGCAAGCCTTCGCAGGTCGCTTGGAGAACTGGCACCAGACCGTGAACGAGGATATATCGGGCGAAGGTTTTCGATTTGGCCTGGCACATATGGTGGGTAACCTGGCCCAGATAATTGAACAGCTGATGGGGAAGAATATGGAGCAAGTCTTTGGGACTGGGTCAGGGTCGGTAAACCAGATGCAGTAGCTAGAGGCGACATTGCTGGCGCTGGAGTTGGCACTCGATGCAACAGAAGCGGGGGACCGGACGGAATTGGCGGCAAAGAAACGAGAGCTGATGGTGGAATGCGTTGTAGATAGGCTTCCAACGCATCAACGCGGGCACGAAGCGCGTCATGTTCAGCTCGAGGGACGTATTTTTCGGTGCTGTTGGCTGTCAAGAAGAAAACAAAGAATACAGAAGGCCTCGTGACATACGCAGGTTCAACGAGATTCCACTGACACTTTTCCTGTTCTCCTCGACGCGCGCAAGGGCCACATGGCTGTTTCCTGTTTGCTGGTTCGACATAGGAGATCTTGACGGTCAACCACTTTACCTATCGCAGCGGATCTTTCGTCTCTTGCATTCTGGGAAATATGAGCAAAAACCTAAATTTGGACTATTCCATGGGGACGCACCAGTGCAGCTCAACGCTTGTCGCCGCCGTTTCTTCTTTGGAGGCTCTTCTGTCGTGTCTTGCTCTCTCTCCCGCTCCCTTTCCCTTTCTTGACCATCATCGAGCTCATCCGAGTCGACCTCCGATACTGCCAGTGTTTGCGAGAGGGCGGTCTGCGATGTCGATGGAGGATCAACAATTGTCGACGGTGGGGGAAGGTAAGGATGAAGGGTCCGAATGCTTGGCAGTTGTGGGCCTAGTGGCCGCTCTGGTTGCATGAACCGAGGGGTGCCCAACAAGAACTCGTTTATGTGTGGCGCCGACCCGTTATTATACCATTCGGCCAACAGTAGGTGTGCTCAATTCTTGAGCCCACTTCTACTTGACTTGTAGATGTGTCAGAGAAGTGCTAGCCGAGCACAGCCGACCAGTGCGATCAAATTGTGTCAGAACCTTAGCAAGCCAAATTTTAGTTCAAATTTCCCTGCTATGAGTACAGTGAGATAGATTTGCATAAACCAGCTGCAATCTGACTGAGATTTGCCCAATTGTTAAGTAAATCATCACACTGAAAAATGAAGCCAGCATCAAGCCCCCTCTCAGTGGCTCTCACACCGTTTGATATCACCGCGCTTAACGCTCGGTTAGCCTTTCTACGACACATCTACAAGTGAAGTAGAAGTGGGATCTAAGAATTGAGCACACCTAGTGTCAGTTGGTACCTACGACGGGTCTAACCCAAACAGTCCGCGATTTGCTGTGCATAGCCTTGACACTCGCCAATATGACCCGGAGTTACCCCTTCTTAGTCCTGGCCACTCAAGCTCATATTCGAGTTGCATTCCGGGTAAACGGCCCGTCTTCAGTTGCACAATCTCAAAATGGATTTAAATTCGACCTCTTCGCCTCCACTACATCGTCCAACAGAAATCCCGCACGGACTAGTAGTTCTTGAAATTTGATCTCCCTTTCGTTATTGCCGCTGTCCAGCTCCAAAGCACACGTCCGCCTACCTCCGTTGCGACAGACGCTACGCCAGTTAAATGCCAGCCTAAATACGCGGATGGAATGATCGGGCTCAAACTTCTTGTTTTGTTTTTCTCTGCTACACAAAAAGGATGAAAAAAAAGAGTGCCTTGAAACGCACAGAAAACTAGCCGATGACACTGAAAATGAATTTTTCAAGTATTCATACGCGAAGGCAGTTAGCATCCGTCGTTGATCTATGGCATGGGCGCGACATCAGAGGCGTTGGTTACTGGTCACGTCGGACGCAGCATGTGAGATTTGCATCCAAACTCCGTGGACAGAGTAGAAGACCTCTTGGGACCCACACATGTTTCAAGGGTTTCAAGGTCATGCAATATTGTTGTATTGGTCCAAGAAAGACAGATGCGTGCTTTAAGTTTAATGCTGACTGTTGGCGTGCTTGTGGAGAAAAGATGGGAAATGAAATGAGAAGAAACTGCCGTCAAATTATATCCGCAGCTCTCGAAACCCTCTCACATCTAGCCTTCCCGTGCCGTTGCTCTGCCACTCACCGTTATCCCCGGTGCTCGGTATCATAACTTTCCCAGCAGCAAGTTTGCTTGCCGAACGCGTCGTCATAGACAGCTTCGCCTTCGGAAGGCCGAGCGCTTTTCTCTGTCTACGAGTCATGGGTTTGGGTTTGACAATAGGGAGGGGCTCAGGAGGCGGACTGGGGCTGATGCTCGATAAGCTCGAGAGGCTTGAAGACGAAGAAAGGGCTGGCGGAGACAAGGAAAGCGAAAGCGGTGTTCCACTACTTGTTGTACTGTTCGTGGGTGGGTATTGTGACGAAGTATCGACATCTGGGTCTGGTTCGCCCTCGGCATCTTCGTCAGAGTCAGAGTCGTTATTGTCGTCCGATGCGGAGTTGGCATCCAGATCCATCTCTATGTCTCCATCGGCATCAGCATCTTCATCACGTGACATTGGATGGTAAGTGCTCCTTGTCCTCTTTGCACCCTCCCTGCCGTGTCGCTGACCCGAGGTCTCGCCTTCACTCGCAGCTCCATCTGATGCGCTATGATCAACCTCCTCTAAGCTTCGCTTGGGACTGTGTTGGATGCGACCATTAAGCAGAGCGGTTGCACGAGTCGGCAGTTTCATGGGCTCAGGGGTCGAGGGCGGCGCGGATAGAGAGGACGAAGACGTAGCAGCGGAATTTGGGAGTGTCACGGGCGTTGTGCTAGGTGATGCGGTTGACAGTTTCAAGCGCACTTTCGGAAGCACGATACTAGTAGGTGGGGAGTTCTCGTCTGGATGGGCGTTCCGCTTTTCCTGCCTAGCCCGCTCTTTCATCTCCTTCTCCAGACGCTTACGCTCTTTAAGATCGGCTTTAGACTGCTGCTTGCTGGACAATTCCTGAGATGATGGGGAAGGAGATGAAGGGTATGGATATGGTGCTGTCTCCTGTACAGCAGGGAGGCCTGTGTGAGGCCCACGCAAATTCCTGACCGAGGAAAAATGCTCCCAATCGTGATAACTAGGTGTCAGTTCAGCGGACATCAAAGGAGCAATCAGAATACAAGACGGAAAGCGACATGTATAATTTACGCAAGCTCTTGCAGGCTCGCGATCGCACTTGAAACACTGTTCGCCGTTGGCGAGCACTGAATTGGAGAAACAGAGAGAGAGAGGGAGAGAAAGAAATCGCGTATATCTGCCTGATAGGCATCAAGTCGCGAGACAAAGGAAATAAAACGAGGGTTGAGAGGAAGGGAAGGAGCCTGGACTCACGCGACATAGATTGTGCTGTCAGTCAACGGTAGGTCTGAACTAAGCTCGAAGTCGGTTTTGCCACTTGCGCGCGTCGGCGAGGATGAAGGTGACGAGGAAGTGGGTGATGCCGGACCTCCGCCGCCAGCCCATTCAATGACATAAACGAGACCAGGTTGGATGACCTTCACATTGCGACGGGTCAGGTGCGCAAAGGCAGAGAGTTCCAGATGCCCTCCATAGGTGGCTAGGGGATCTCAGCGTTGGGCTCAATGGACAAATCAACGATAAACATACCATTCTGGCGCATGCATCCCAAATGCGTCTCGATACCCCTGTCATCTTCAACAAATGGCTCGTACCGTGTCTTGTGACGTGCTATCCAATCACAAACGTCCTTGCGAAGCTGGGTATGGCGTGAAGCCGTCCCATAGAGCTGGTCAGACAACGCGCGGAAAAGACAATTGCCGTCGCCGATAGTGTTGGCGGCATAGAGACCAAGAGAGCGAAGTTGGTCGGTAAGCAAGGCGGTCGAGTGCGCTGGGTCACTGAGGAGCTTGCCATGATAATGCATGTCAGAAATTATCGCCCACGCGCGGTATACTCACCCGGCCCTTGCTTGACCGTGTTCTCTGTGAGCGCACTGTTGGGCTGCGTCAGTGGTGGCCGTGGTCAACAACAACAACTAACACGTTGTTTGCGTCTTTTTGGCATTATTCTTACCCATCTCAGAGCTGATGGCAGTGTTTTCGTCGGTGGATCGTACAAGCGTCGATGAGAGAGGGTAGGTTGCTGATATAAGAGGCTCGGGGTTTGGGACGGGGAAGATGATGGTTCAGAAGATCGGAGTTTAAACCTATCTGATGTAATCATATCATTCTGTCACGCACACCTCGCTTACCTGCCCTCATTCGAACCTTATTGCAGGTAGTAGCCCAGAAATTGACACTTGCCTGAGCAGGAATTTCTGACCTTGTACGCGTAAAATCACCCCAAAATGCCGAATGCCCCCCCCTAATCGTGTCGTCATTAGCAGACCAGTCAATGGCAAGCAGTTCGCGAGCTTCAACTTCCGCAACACCGCTTCGTCGTAGAACCCATACTCTCAACAATCGGCGTTCTTCTTCTACGGCCTCCAGCACTATAAGGCCAGACGAGTCCACCGACCAGGAGGCTGATGAGACTTTACCGTCGCCACCGACCTCTCTTGTAGAAGAAGAAAACGATACAGAGACGGAGCAATATGCTGACGATGAGGGTGACGAGGAACAAGCTGCGCTGCCAGATGCAGGCAATGAAAGCGAGGATGAGATAGAAGAGTACCATCACCGTCCATGGTACAAGCCTTCGCTTCCCGTTCTACTTCCTTTGGCAGCTTCGTTTGGCAACTGGCTCACAGGTGGAGACCAACTGAAGGATATTGCGCTGCTTCTCCTCCTGATGTTCTACCTTCACCAACTCGTTGAAAGTGCGTGTAACCGCTTTCTTTTAACTGGGATTGACTTGTAAATCATGTAGCACCTTGGACTCTTTACCGCAATGCCCGACCTCGTCGTTCCCTTTCCTCACCGATAACTCTGAATCATCCAACTACCAACGAAGCGCGTAGCGAACTTCGTCGGCTTGAACTTTTCCTTCTTTTTGTCTGTCTCGTCGCACCAGCACTTGGTGTGGTTTTATTACGCACCTTGACTTCAACAGCTCCATATTCTTCCTCTCCAACCCAGCGCCAGCCAATTTCGTGGTTTTCTACCTCCATCTTTGCCCTCCTTACAGCTTTTCGCCCCCTTCGTGAGCTTGTTTCGTTGATCACCACTCGCACCAGCACGCTTCATACCCGTATCCACACTGGGCCAATCGAGAATGGCAATGGTGAACAATCAATTGAGCTCGTTTCCCTCCGCGCCGAGGTTGCTCTCTTGAGTAATCGTCTTGACGCCCTCTCTCAGAATTTACCACGGAAAGACAAAGCCGCATCAAATCCCCACATGAACACTCTCATTAACCGTCTTGACGCTCTCACAGTTCTCGTCTCCTCGCATTCAGAACTGATTCCCCTTCTCGAAGATGGTGTCCATAGACTGGAACGTCGCGTCGGTCGTCTTCGAGCGGGCCGGAAGGCCCAAAATAATAGTCAACAACAAGCCGGTGCAACAACAAACACCATATTCGTCCCTGCCCCAATTCGACCACCGTTTTTGTCCTGGTTGATATCACCAACCCAAGCAGTTCCCAGTCCACAATCATCTGCCGCTCCTCCACTGTCGCCCTCTTCATCGAAAATCCGTACTCCTTTGGGACTTGCACCAATTCCAGAAGAAAGCGAAACCATGCCCGCTTCTTTCCCCATCCGTGCAAGCTATAGAGTTGAGCATGTGAAACCAGTCTCCAAAGCTGTCCCAGGAAGCCAGCTACAACCAGTGTTGGATATAATATCCAACCTCGCGCTCGCGCCGTTGCAGCTCATTTTATTGCCTCTATATATTGCATTACTTCCGCTGAGGAGTGTCTTGAAGGCGCTCGTCGGCTGACCGTTACCATCCCTTCTTTTTGCATTCGCCTACCGTATCAGATCGTATTCTCTTAGCATATCCAACTCCAACCAAGTAAAGTAGTAAGGACACGTATACTGTAGGTATCATCTTGTATTTATATTCTGGTCGCTACCCAAATTCAAGTTCAGATAAGCTCAGCGCAAACTCTGTCAACCAGCTTCAGCCACCGCAGTTTCAGACCAAGTCAATGCGATTGTCATCGCTCCCGTGTGGTCTCCGACGACGCTCATTGTCAGCGCGGAACCCAGAATGACTTTGCATTGTGCAAAAACCATGTCTTCGATTCGCCACCGGCCTTCGCTAGACGCAATCCTTCCAGCGTTGGATATCTCAAATGTCGACCCACGTCTTCGGCCAAGCTGACCGTTAAAAAAGTCGATATAGTTGCAAGAAAGGAGACTGACCTCTTGCAGCCGCTGGGGTTGCAACTCCGTTGCGTAAGACGTGGCTTTCGACCAGTCAAACACAGTATCAATTGACGGATACGATTTATGGGCCGTTACGTAGTCGTCCGCAGACGCAGTGGCGGGGCCCCTGAGAGAGATGGCGACGGCAGCTACCAGTTTGGTATATTTTGCTGAAGACGGGGGAATCAGACGCGAGATAGTGGTCGCGGCAAGAACGTAGAGTGCTAAGGTCACTGTCGCTTTGTGGGAGCGACAGACTTGAGAAAGCATGTTTATCTCGCTGCTTGTGAGTATCATATGTGAGTCCACGAGAACGTTCTGCAGCTTGCTCCCGCTGTTCGGTGAAGAAACATCAGTGCCAGATTTCAAACCTAGACAAGGAGAAGTATTGCCCAGCAAGGTCTGTCTAGAGACTGAATGAGAACCATCATCGTTTGGTATCCATCCGGTGCTGGTTCTGATGAGTCTTGGGGGACTTGAAGTAGAAAAAGGTCGTGACCGTAACTCGGTCATTGTCAAATAATGCCGCCATCTCAAACAGATATTGATGAGGGTGCGTCTCCTCCAATGTTCTCCTCTCATCAAGATCGAGCGTCTTACAGAGCAGCTCCATTTCTCGAATGTAATATCGACATTCCAAAACTACGCCAATTACTCGGTGCGCGTTCGGCAGTCGGTCGTTAGCAATTGTCGAATACCGATGCAACCTCAGTAGCTTTCTGCGAACAATCGCCGGAGAAAGGATCTTTACACGCTTCCAAAAGCTGATCAAGAGCTGCTTTCGCAACTAGGCTACCGTGCAAAACTAGACGCGGTTGACGAGGCGATCAGCAAGAATGCAGACTTTCTGGGTAGTGTGGTAGCCGATCCTGAAATATTTGGGCATGATATTCAGGATGAAGAGGATCACTCTTCGGGACACAGTCATGGTGCGTCATTTAAATGTGTTTTGTTCAAGTGGTTGACTCGACTCTTGTTCTTTTACAGATCATTCTCATGGCGGCCAGCACCACCACGGGCACTCCCACTCACACGGGGGGACCAGGTCGGAGGAAGTACAAGCCCACGGACTTCGATATGGACAAGCTTCGCAGTACACTGAAACAACTCGTTCGCGACTGGAGCGCTGAGGGAAAAGCCGAACGCGATGCTTGTTATCTGCCAATGACAGAGGCGCTCCTTTCACATTACTCAGACATCACCGAGAATATGAGGCGAAATCTACGTGTGTTGGTGCCTGGAGCTGGCCTTGGTCGTCTTGCGCATGATGTCGCCAAACTTGGTTTTGCATCGCAAGGAAATGAATTCTCTCATTACATGCTACTAACCTCTCACTTTATTCTGAATCAGTGAGCACATTCCTCACCTCGGAAACGTCAGCTAATTGGTTAGAACCACCGCAGTCGATGCACATACGATCTACCCATATGTTCACTCGTTTTCCAATCTCCCAACAAGTGAGGCCCTCCTTCGGCCGGTTACTCTTCCAGATGTGCTTCCTTCCAGTCTTCCGAAAGGTGTCAACTTCTCACTTGTCGCTGGAGACTTTGAGGAGATCTACGGTAGTCCTGCGGACCCATCTGAGCCTCATGCAGGACTATGGGATGCTATTCTCACTTGTTTCTTCATCGACACTGCCAAGAATATTGTCAACTATCTCCGTATTCTGCATGCGATTCTCGCTCCTGGAGGTGTCTGGATTAATCTCGGGCCCCTGTTGTGGCACTGGGAAAACAACAACACCCACGACCCGTCGGTGGAACTTAGCCTGGATGAGGTGAAGACGCTCGCGAGGCAGATCGGGTTTGTGATTGAGAATGAGCGTAGTTTGGATACAACATATACGAACAACCCACAGTCGATGTTGGGGTATGTTTACAAAGCTGCCTTCTGGACGGCACGAAAGAAACGGGAAGGAGAGGCTTGATGTATTTCTGTACCATCACATTATTTTGCCTTGACTCGGACTAAGCTCCACCATTTACCCCCCGAATTGTGCGCTCATATCTTCGCATTCATGCGTGCTCCGACTCTGGTGCGACTGGGCGTTCTCTCAGTCTCGTTTCTCGTTACATCCATGACACTTCTGCCCAATTCAAGTTCCAGAGCATCGTCGCCCCCAGATTTTCGCCTTTGCGTCATTGCTCGAGAATATACCCCTGAAACTGCGCACTACACGGTTCCTCTACATAAATGGACGACCGCGTACAGTGGTTGGAACGACGTCAGGAAGGCTTATTGGGAGCTAAGGAAAGAGAAGGAGGACGATCTAGACGATCCTTCTCTCCAACAGCTTGCTGTGGAGGCAGAGAGGCTAAGAGCCGAGGGTAAACAGCGTCTGGATACGTTTAATGAAGGGGAGGCTGCTGTGGTCATGCGAATATTACACCAACTTTCGTCGACTTTGGAAGCACTTGATATTTCCCTCAACGGATATGTGGCCGCAAAACTGGCCGGTGTCGTACAACTACCAAGGATACTCGATCTCACTACAAGAGGCGGATTCCCCATTCGCAGCACAGATCATGGTGGCCCGTCATTAAAGCCATGCCCCCACACTACGATACCTTCACCTGGTGGAAACATCCAATCAGTGGTATTGGACAACCAAGTTTTTCGGGATAGAGCAGGGCATTGCTCATTTCCCGCCGTTTTTAACGAACCTTCGGGTCTCTCAGCTGGAGACCGACGACTCTATTCCAGTGGACATTGCAAAGAGCCTTGGCATTGACCCTGAATCCGTTTCACAGACGCTGACCACCACCACAAACGTCATTGCTCCAATGCCGGACAGTGTGCGGCAAATTATCCTCAAGCCAAATGTTGAGCCACCCCCCCATGTTGGATGCAGTTGCACTGACGAAACGGGAACATATTATGAGCTCGTCGACCACGCTCGTCGACTAATGACAAAAGACAGCTCAAAGCGAGTCATTGTTTTGAAGCCGGACGGAAGCGATAATGGTATGTATTTGGATGAATGGTTGGAGAAGGCTGCAGGAGGCGAATGTCGTTGGAATGTAGATCGGATTGATATGGCGCATGTGAAGGATTTGGAGGATACCGTTTGAAAAAACCTTGTTAAGTCTACTATGCCCCGACTGGTCTAACGTTGTATTCTTTCCGAAAGGCGTCAAACTCTTCTTCCTTGGACTTGTACTGCTCGCTTAAACTGCTTAAAACCTTCTTGATCTGGAATGACCGGTCTAGCAAGGTTAAAATAACTGGAGATAGAAACATACTCCGTCACGGTTTGTCTGAAGCGCTGGTACTACATCTTGAACAGTCCGCTCGACGAGAACCCCGCCGATGAGACGGAAACATTTTCGGTGTGGATCGGCCGCTAGCGCTTCGTTCAACGTTGATAATACAAGTCTGTGAAGAGGATGAGAGTGGCAAATGCCGAATATCTGTACACCCACCCGTGCTCGTCTGATTCTTGTTCAAGCTCTCCGATCTTTCCTGCAAGTGACTGGAGCTCATTTTGCATCCGGGAGTAGTTTTGGGAGATCTCTGGGACATAAGTTCCCTGATGTAGACTCAGTACATTGAGCACACACCTTGGTCAGTTAACGGTGTCGGCGTTGATTTGATTTGTCCTTTTGAGTTGGAGGCCATGAATTTGGAATCAAAGTGAGCGTGTGACGTACACGTGAGCGTTACGCGGTCCCGTGATGCAGCGTTGCAGCAGAGGCATTCAAGGATTTAAAGACACAGATTTGTCCTCCGAGATGTGGCTATCTCTCACACTCATTGCTTCAAGTTGCTCATTAGCTGATGCAATTGTTCCTTTGAAAACTTCAAGCCGCTTTGGTGAGCGATCATCGGATCAATGTTACACGACCCTTGGGCCCAAATCTGATTAGACAACAAATACGCTTGGTTTCCCTCCACCATGTCCGAAGCTAACACGCATGTTCCTGCTGCTGTTGAGCCTACACCTGCCCCTACCGCGACAGCCACAGCGGTGGAAGCCACGACAACAGTACCCCCAACGAGCACTACCACAATAGCGTCGCCGCCTGAACCTGCCCAGGCTGCCGTCCCTTCCCCCACGGATGCTCCCACGGTCGAAACCGAGAAGAAAGACAAGAAGGTTGAAGAGCCGCAGAATGCGCTTACTGAGAAGTTCACGGGCTATGAATGGAAAGCCTTGACTGAGTTGCGAGTGCGCCGTTGATGTTGCTATTGAGAAATTGAACTAACCCAACTTATGACAGAAAACAATCCCAGATGCACTCGTCAAGGCATACGAGAAACCCGAGGCTAAGACCACCCCAATTATCTTATGGGGTGTCCATATTGACCCAACGAATCTTGTCGACGCGAAGGTCAGCGTGATTCTCATGAAATTCTTACGAGCCAGGCAAGTTCCACTCTCTACAAGCGAATAACCATCCAATCCGCTTTAGGAATCTAAACCCAACCGCTGCAAACGAAATGTCAGTTTTAGGGTTCCCTCAAGCCTGAGTACTGGAATAACATTTTCTAGGTTTGTCGAAACCCTTCGCTGGCGCGACGAGTTCAAGGTCGACGATGCATGCAAGGAGGAATTCCCAGAAGATGTATTCGGTAAACTGGGGCATATATATGGGCGAGACAAAGAAGGTCGACCTGTCGTGTGAGTTGTTAGGCAATTGTGTGGGTTTGTCAATTGACTGACTTGGCACCAGTTATAACGTTTATGGCGGTAACTCGGACATTGATGCAGTCTTTGGTGATGTCGACCGCTTCCTCCGTTGGCGCGTCGCCTTTATGGAGAAGTCTCTAACGCTTCTCGACTTTGCTACGGTCGATCAATGCATTCAGGTTCACGACTACGCTGGTGTAAACATGTCCAGTCGTACCCCTTCATCCAAGGCCGCTGCCTCACAAGCAAGTAACATCTTCAGTAGCCATTATCCTGAGCTCTTGGTAAGCTTGGTTGGTTTCCTTTTAAAATTGACTCAACGTTCGTTTATTTTAGTACAAGAAATTCTTCGTGAACGTGCCAGGCTATATGTCATGGCTCTTCTGGATCTTCAAAACGATTCTCCCCGCAGCCACATTTGCAAAAATGTCGGTAGTCGGTAGTGGACCCAAGCCCATTGGAAAAGCACTTCTCCCGTTCATTGCCCCTGATCAATTACCTACGCAGTACGGTGGAACCGCGGAGGCTGAGGTTTTCGAGAAGAAGTAAGGTTGGGCCATTATTCCGCATTCATTTTCCAGATACCATTTACATGCCTACTGTCTTTTGGTTTGCTTAATCCACATCCGCTTCATCGTTCCTCCCTGTTCCGACTGGAACTCTCCGCAGAAAACCCGCCCGAAGGAGTTCTTCGACACGTGTTGTTGCCTGGTAAACTGTGCCCTGACCTGGCTGGCCATAAAATGCAGCAGCCAAACCCACCCTCACAACGAACGGATAGACCACCTCATAAACGCGATACCCGTTTTCATTTTCTGGATTCAGGCTCGTCGGCGGCAACGCTCGCATGGCAAACGGCAGCCCCGCTGGCCACAGAAGGTATAGCTCGCTGTCCTGCCCTCCGTAATCATCTACCTTCGCGCCCTTTCGAAGTACCTGGTCTCCGCCAATCGGTTTGTGTGCTGTTGAGAGTTGGAATCCGTTTGCAGGAGGCTGACGATACTGCCAGGTGGGGACGTCAAACCATTCCGCGAGAAACTGGTTGGGGCAGAGATGCTCTCTTCCAAATCGCCAGTAATCGTGGAAGAGCACGGCGATAGCACTTGCGCTTCTGTTCTCGATGTCTTTGGGTCCGAGGCGAGGGTCGCCGCAAAGAAATTGCTCGGACAAGAAATCAGTTCCCTCGCAGAAACTGGGTTTGCATCCTTTGTTCGACTGAAGGACAGATAGTGGTCGGGCTGCATGTATGGTGGCGGTTGAAGCTGATAGGGCGAGGATTGCGGTGCTCCAATTGCAAAGGCGAGGATGCATCATGCGGGTGTTGAGCTTGGACTCACTTCATTTCTTATACTCAGAGCCCTTACTTCTTCTAAATTCTTCTTCGTTCAATCTGCGCAATTGAACTTCTCATCGCGAAGTCTGATTCTAGTCGGGCTACAGAGGAGTAACACGGCTATTTGGCCCAAAGACCCAAAGCTAATCAATATTCCCCAGAGGACAACAAAATGCTATTATAGACCAGCCGCTTTCCTCAATTTCTCGAAGTTGGGCGTTCCCAGTCCCTGTTATAGTGTTCAATATCACGGGCTAAACGAGTGGAAGATATAACATACGGTGACGGGGTCCCAGCCTTTGAGTGCCGCTGAAGTATGGGTTAGTTATGAGAATGAAGGTCAAAGGGAAGACTCACGGAATCCATCAGTCTAAATGACCACGTGAGCTTATGACATAAAAAGTATAATTCGCCACTCACATCGCAGCCAGGGTTGTTACCGAGAGTGATGTCGTTCATGGCGCCAGCATTGGAGTACAGGAATGGATTGAGGAAACCCAATGGCTTCTTTCCTGCTCCGATAAGCTCATCGTTGATAAGACCGATGACGCTGGCGAATACAGGGCACGAGGCCGATGTTCCATCCACTGCTTGGACTTAGCAGCCGTTATTGAAAAATGCTGGCCACGTACCGCCACCTAATCGTCCACCGTTGACAACTTGGAAGTTTTCGCCTTGAGCGGCAACATCAGGGAATGCACGGCCTTTCGTGTTGAAGAGCCCTGCGTTCTTGTTTCCAAGGAGAGCAAGATAGTCGTTCACTGCCTTGGTCTGGTAGTCCGGCACTATTGATAAAATCAGAAACGAGTAGCTGGCAAGAGCAAAGCACCAACTAGCAAAGACATCAGAGAATCCACCGCTGGAGAATTTCGAGCCGGTTTCAACTTCGATGGATCCACCGAAAGTAGAGCCGACGGAAGTCACGCTAAAGTAAATTCAGCGTTGCATCCAAAAACAATCAGAACATCCACTCACAAGGGGCAGGTGGAGGGGAAGGCTGGGAGGAACTTCTTGCATTGCCGTCTCTTGACACCGCCGTTAACTCCCGCGTCACCACTGCATTCATAAGGATGAGCAAGACATAGAAGATTGTTGAACGTACGAAGCGAAGAGAATCTGAAGCCCGTTTGATCATCATAGCTTCACGAGAAATTTGATAGACATACCGACGATCCACGGGCGCCAAGGGCCGCGTAGGCGTTGCAGAGCTTTCTGTATTGCCGTCAGCATTTTTGAGCAAGACACGAATGAGGACAGACGTCTCAAGGGCTGGGGGGAGGTCCTCTTCGTTCAAGCCGTAGGAAGTGCTCATCACAAGCGGGACATCAGCGTCCTTGACTCCAAGGAAAAAGTTGATGATGTCGAGGAATCCACCGAGTGCGCCATCCTAAATTTTATTGACTCACGTAGACAAAGATTGTAAGTTCGAGTACAAACCTGAACTTGGTTGCCGACGGAAACAAAGGTGACGGGGACACCAGTAGCAACACCAACGGTGTATTGAATGTCAAGCTAGGAAAGTTGAAACACCAGGATCGAAGATGAAATTGTGCAACTCACGTTCTAAGCAAAAATTAGATTACGGGGGAAGAATCGGACAAAAAAATGAGCTTACAGCTTCAACTCCTGCTTGTTGAGCGCTCTGTGGGTTCTGACCTCCATCGAGGGTTTGCACGCGAACGACGGGGCGGGGGTCGGTATCTTTACGGAAGTTGGTGAGGAAGGTCTGGAGATCTGCTCCCTGTGCGAATTGGCCAAGGAAACCTGGCAAATAATTATAAGCATGTTCGTCGTAAGTTGAACATATAAGACGGACCGGGAACAATGATGTTGTTCGATTTCTGTGTCGCAGCCTTGGCTGGAATGCCATAGAGCTTTTGCAGGCTTTCTGTATCACGTTCATGAGCATAAAGGTGTCAAGAAAGCCGAGGTACTCGCCAGGAGTCACAGGGCCTCTTTGTGCCTTTCCTCCGGCTTGACGACGGCCGAGACCTTTTGTCTCGGGAAGCGACATGACAGGCCTGACCTCCATCGGGGAATTGAACTCGGTTGTGGGGAAGATGTGCTCGATGAAAGGCGCAACCGAATCGGGTAAGGCCAGATTGAGAGTACGGGCGTAGACATTTCCCGAGTCCGTGTGTTCAAACATCTCAAAGTTGGCGCTGAGGAGGGCGTTGGCTTTGGCAACGGGAACATTGATTGTGAGCCAATCTCCAGAGACTCCAGAGGTGGAGGAGACATTGTTATTGCCTAGCCAGTTTGTAACAGCTGCAAGGGCTTGGGGAGTCGGAGCTAGGAAGCCGTTCACCTAGGAGACCATTAGAAAGAGTATAAATTTGGTGAAAGAAATCTGAGCGTACCTCATCCTTGGTGAGATGCTTTCCGTAGTTTTCCGAACCTGGCGTCGAGACGTCCAAAAGAGCCCGCTGGAGTCCTGGGGCGTCGTTGGAGGCAAGCGCTATCCGGAGCTTGAGGCCATAATCTGATGGCGCGGTACTCTTCCACGTGAAGCCTTCAGGGGCACTCCGGCGATATTGTTGGTGGTATCCTTGTCTGGCGCTCAGCGGTGATGCGGAAACTGCAGCGATGAGCGCAGTTGTGGTCCAAAAGAAGGTGGTCGTGAGCATGATGGTTCCAAGTTATCCAAAGAGCAAGTAGAAAGCACGAGCGGCACTATCCAGATAGGTGCCTGCCTCGAAAAGAGAGAAAGGAAGGAGGTGAAAAAAGAAAAGAGGCGGGAAGGTGGATCATTATAATCAAGCATGAACCGCCTTTTAAGTATGTCGTGGTCAGCTTGCCCGAAAACTGGTATCAAAAACGATCGGATTGGTTGCGAGGTCATGGCAACAAGACTTGGCAAAGCAATTTCTTGCGTATATGGGTAACTTGAGGCTTTGTTCATCGAATGTTGCTGCTTTGTACGGTGGTTATGGCGGACCTAAAGGATAATTGAGGGTCAGGCCGAGTCCCTTGCGACTGGAACGTGGTTGCGATGAATGCCGAGCAAAGGGAAGAACCATGCTAACGTCAGTCCCACGACACCGGAAAATCGAGCACGCGTAAGTTAGCACAAGGTCGGCAAGGCCGAGCATTGAACAAGTATTGAACATTGGGCAAAACCCGGAGGCACAGTTAGGCTTGGCTCAACAGTCGTGAAGTGAGTGGAACCACAGCATTGGTTCAATAGTTGTTGATGTGCGGGGTCTACTGATTTGGTCCGATTCTCACGAATTTAGCACTAAACACCTGAGTAAAAATTACTACAGTATTACAGTAAAGATTACTAAAACCCATGTGCTTGGATCAACTCCTTCATCTCCTGAACAAGACCAACAGCTTTGTCTCGTTCCTTCTGCGTCTCCGCCAACTGTCTCTTGAGCGTGTCGGTGTCAGAGTGCAAAATTGCGTGCCAATCCTCTGTGGCTCTTTTGTCATCCAATCGCAACTCCAACCTGGGCACTGAGTTCTGTTGTTGGCCTCGCCCTTCGTAGACGCGTAGCCTTGCCTCTAGTTCTTTGATTTGGCTTTGCGCTTGGAAGGTTTTTGTGATGGCTTCTTCAACCGCATGATCGCTTCTCTCCAACTCTCGTTCTAGCAAACTGATACGGCGCAAAGCTTGTGGATGGGTCAGCTCTTGATCGTCATTGCATTGAGGCGGTGACGGTGGTGCAGCTTCGTGGACGTGAAGGTTCGTATCTTCAGAAGAGTCATAACCCGAATCGTTGTCTTGAGTGATTTTACTTGAACGCTTGGATTCAGCTGGTAAAGTTTGGGTCATCGTAGCCTGACGATTACGGCGCTTCAGTTCACGCTGCGCCTCTTCAGCTAGTTCTCTTGTGAAGTCTTGCAGACGCTGTTCGACTATACAGTGATAACATCAGCAATTAGATGTGTTGCACTCGTTGAGCACTGACGAGCGCTGCATGAAGATGCACTAGAAACATCAGATTCGTTGTCATCGTCCTCAATATTGTCGTTTTTCTTGGTCGGCGCTCGAGAAAGGCGAGAAACGGATGACGTATCAGGGCCGTCGAATAGTGCTTTGACAATAACATCCCAGCGATCAACAAGCCATTGGAGCATTGTAGAAACCCGTTCGCCACGACCATCTGACGCCGGATCTGCTTTGGAGCCAGCACCAGCAAGTACAGCACGCCCAATGTCGTCTGAGATCAGATTTGGGAGACGTTGAAAAAGCCCCATGAGATAGACGACAAGTGAGAAGCTAGGAATAGAGAGGAGGCGAAGGAGAATTTGGCAGATGCGAATGGAGGAATCAGTTGGTTCGAATGTTCGTCTATGGCCAACCTTCTTCAAGTCGGTATTGCGCAACGAAGGCATGATACACCATGTCCATAAGGCTTCAAAAATATCGGAACTGATGAGAGGCTCGGGCAATGCAAAGAGATAGGTTGTAAGCAGACCATAGACTTCTGGAATTTCGCTAGGTGTTTTGAAGGCCGTCTTACAACCGAACTGAGGTTCGGCGTCGAAAGCAGTGATTAGGGCCAGAAGGCGATGCCTGTCCGGTGCTCGTTTGTGAGGTACGCAACCTAGAGACACACAGAGAGAGAAGTGAGCCGCTTTTGAAGTAAACAGATGGCTCACCATGTCGACAGAGCTCCTTGACGCAACGAAAGACGATGATGGGTATATCATGCTCAAATCCAGAAAGAACAGTGATGGTTGATGCATATAGAGTCGTTTCTCGCAGTGAAGAGCCAAAAACAGCTGCAGGAGTCAGAATCGACCAAGGACATCGGTGACCACGTACTGAGATTGCTGCTTGAGCTTCTGTCTCGTGCTCTCTCACGCCGAGCTTTGGCCTTGAGCATATCGCGGTCCTCTCTTTCCATAATGTCCCGTTCATAAAGCGCAATCAAATGGTCCACATCAAGAAAATCCGGTATACGTTGTGTTGATGAGTCGAGAAGTCGGTTGAGAGACCGTAAAAGCGGGCGTGGATCAGCATTCTCGAGTCGACGAGGTCGCGACTGCGCTTCGCTGGGAGTTGAAACAGCACGGTCCCAGGGATTGGGATGAGAGGTGAGCATCGAGCCAAGTTCATGGTCGCTGTGCCGTTTGGAATGATGTGCGCTATGGGAGGAGGCTGAGGCTGATCTGGCGCCAGAGTGGGTGTCGGGACTTTGAAGGCAGGAAGTTGAAAAAGTACTATCTGGTAGCCTATGCTTGCTGTTCATTTAGATTGACGGAGAAAAGACTGTGAGGTAGAGGGGTTGGCGAGTCACACCGTGACCTGTGACATGTCGAATTCACTTCCTATCTGTGGCGGTCGTTCATGGCAGTCTCCGGTGTAACTCGGCTCGGCTCGTGTTTGTGCAAGAAGATTCGCTTCTCTGTCATCGGCGACCCATTCTCCTACGCAGTTTGTCATTGCACAAACTGCAAGAAGTTTGCCGGCTCCGCCTTTATGACCAACGCTTTCTTCAATCCAGATGCAGGTCTTTCTCTGCTACTTGCACCAACTTACTCACTCAGCGCAGAATGTCCATGTCACGGAGGGTCAAGAGTTCCTCAAATCGTATGAGGATTCAAGCACGACGAGTGGGAAGACCTTGTTGCGTTCCTTTTGTTCGGGTTGCGGAAGTTCGCTCTTCCTCAGTTCACCAGTGGACAAAAAGTGGATCATTGTCCCTCCATCTGCAGTGGACGATGCCCACTCTTGGGGTGGGTTTCGTGCTTTGTGATCAGTCAGTGGAAGTTATATTTATTTGCTAGTTCCTCGTCGAGAGAGCTTTCCGCAAGACAGAATAGCATGGGTTACTGGTCTTCATTTAGAACCAAAGAGAAAGCCAAGCCTGTAGTGGTAAGTCCCCCAGCCTTCCTTAGAGATACATCTCATACGCAGAAGCAACTTTGTCTTGTTCTTGTTTGTCGTTGTAGTATGTGAACAGTCTAGGTTTTAGTCAGGTTTTGACCTCACTTCAGATAAGCAATCATGTCTGAATCCTCTCAACTAGTGGCACACGATTAGTCGATGTTCATATCACGCTACAAATCTCCATTGCCACATCCTTTAAAACTACTCCTCGCGCTTTCCAGCATCGACGTGGCTAGGTTTCCGGTTGGTCAATATAGGACGACATCATATGTGATGCTTTAAAACAAGGGACAAATGTTTGGCTGGGGGCCGTCTTGCACAGCGGCCGGAGAGTCAATCTCGCTGCCTAGCTTCGATTTCAGTTCGACTGTGGGCCGATTGAAACGAATGGCATACAAGCGGGAGTGGGAGCGGCTTGTGCTACAAGAGCAGCCATCAGGGCGGCTACAAGTGTGTTTGCAAGTGCGGACGGATTCATGCTGGAGTCAGATTTGGGGCTGGCCGACATTCCGCTTCGTCAACCCTTTTATAGCATCAGGTTCGTGCTGTTGGATGGAGTTCATATCTATTACACCCTTTGTCGACGCTCGCACAGAGGCCTAGGGCTGTCAGCAATGCAAGTGAGTCAATTCACTCGCATCAACATCGCACAGAGAAGTGCCTTATGCATTGGCTGATCGTGATTTCCTGGGAAAGATCTTCTCGGCGCAATCGAAGAACGAAACTAGAAGTAGACTATTTTCGTCCACCTGCAGCCGACTCGTTGAGCCCGATATCAGCGTAAGTGTATCGCGGGCTTCCATTATTTGGCCAGCTGATCCACGTATAAAGCTTTCGTAGTCAGACGCTCACTCAACCAGTAAACGCGACATGCCCTCCCAGATCGCCATTCTCCTTCCAGTATATCTCTCTGTTGTCGGCAATGGATTGTTGTTTGGGATTGCTTGTATGCAAGCGTAAGCATCTGTGTCCCTTATAGAGCAGCAATCAACCTACCGACTATAACCATAGCTTCCAGTACAGTCTGTGCGTCCTCCTGGAATCATCCCATTAGGATACCTCGAATTCTGAAATAGCAAGCATCCCAAGAACGAAAGATTAAGCATCAAGTTGTTGGTCCGTGTTGGGTGGCTGTCCTAAAGATTTTCAGCCAACGATGGAACCTACATACATAGGTCGCCTTCATAATGCAAGCCCGAGTTTTTTCTTTTAGATAATGCTGAACTTCTTTCGGCAGGGGTCTGAACGCGGGTCATCTCGGCCTTGTTGTGACCGCGAGTACGGAATAGGGTTCCACATAGTACTGTTGCTAATTTTATCGCCTCTAGTGTGGGAGGTCTTGGAGCATTGGCCGACGAACGCGATCGCACTCAGCATGTTTGTACTTAGACTTGTGATGGGATTTTATTTCTCTATGCTGATGGATTTCTAGGACGCTACTTGTTCGTCTTTCCGCTCTTCTCATTCCTGTACTCTTTCTCATTGGGTTCATAGTGGGCTGATCTCGTGACCGTTCGTCATTCTTCTTGTCTGGGTGTTATTGACTCACTAATACCCACAGGCATTTATGGCGTTTGCCTCTCAGCTGTTCTTCGCTGGTCGGATCTATAAATGTTAGGAACACTGGACTTCATCAAGCAAATTTTGACAATCCCCACTAGTTCTAGGCAGAACTCGTCTCGCATTCGTAATCCTAGCTGTCTTTGTGAGTTGATCTCGATATCCCTTGGCTGTTCTAATTTTTTTACAGACGATTTCTTCTCTCTACCAACTTGGTGAGCATTGTTTTCAGCGGAGAAAATCACGCGTTATACCTTGATGCTCAGGAGGATATATCGGTGTGTTCCTGTTCTGTGCTCCGTTGTGGGCTGATGTACCCGACAGCGTTTACGGTCCTTTGGTGAGCGAGCTGTTGATTTAACAAATAGATTATGGACGAGTGAGTCTAGCGCAAAGACCAAATTGAATGCCACAATGTTTCAATACGAGGTATAGATAACTCCTCAGAAGAACTCTCTGTTGAATTGGTTGCAGAAATTAGTGTGGTCAATTTGGGGGATGGCAGCGGGCCAAGATATCTTGATTTCGCTCATCCTCATCGGCCTCATTTACCATCACGGTTCAAGGAGCCTCCCAAGGTGATTCGACGTTATTCTCTCAGGCTCCGGGTCGTTTTGAACGAACCTATAGCACTGTGCAATTGGTTCAACGTGTCACCATCTTCGCTATTAACACTGGCTTGTGGACATCTCTGTGTGCTTTATTTGTCATCATAACTGTGCGTTCTCAATGCTTGCTCTTGTGTATTCCGATCGACCCCCCGCCTCAGATGGTCGCATTTCCTTTGAAAGAAGCTTGGATAGGCCTTTATCTTATGATCTGCCCACTCTACTGCAACACCGTTCTCGCTAATCTGAACGGTCGCAATTATATTCGAGGAACGAGCACCATAGCGCTGAATACACTCGAGTTACCAAGTTCGAAGAGTGGGTCTACGACTCATCAGGTACCAAGGTTTTTGGGTCTTCCTTGACTGAGCTGAGCTACTTCAGGACGTTGAACCACAGGTGTCGAATATCGTGTTTGCCAGTCATTCAGGAGCGATTGACTCTAGGACCAATGGATCGCAACTGGAGGACTTGGACGACAAGGTTTAACTTGTTATTATTTTATTGTATAGCACTTCCAGTAGCAGATCACGGTATAGGTCGTGTTCAGTACAGCCAAGGGCCCAGCTGCGGCGCTGCGCAACAACTTGCAGTTTGGAAAGTAAAGATTCGGAACAGGCAGTTGCAGTCTGAGTATGACTGGTAAGTACTAAGCATCGTCCAATCGTTGAAGATTTAGATTACTCCGCTTCAGTTTTGCAGTTGAATCCGGGTTGTCGTAGTTTTGTTTTTGAGTGTGACATCAGCCGCCGTGACAGCACTTACATTCAGACGAAAGCATCCTTCGCCGCTGCACTGGTAGAATGCCAGCTGTGGTGGTCAGCAACCCACCCGGGCAGAATGGGATTGGTCGACACTTTGACAATATGTCGACATCGCAGATTAAAGCTCAGATGGTCGAGGTTGTCCAGCGGGAATCGAAGGGAGCAGGAGCACTAGCCTTAATCAAAGCAGCCCGCCACCAAGTCGTTGCCGCGCGCGACCATGAGAGTAGGGGTGACCTCAAGAATGCATTGGCCTCATATACAAAGGGCGTATCGTTGGTTAAAACCGCACTCGACTCTACCGAATATAAGCGGGAAGCACACACGGGGTTGGTTCATAAAGAGTGCGCCGAGTTTCAGCGGGTGAGTGGACCAGTGATCTGGCCTTGCGACTGGCTAAGCCTTGTAGACATATAGTGCAGATATGACGGCCCGAATGACTGCCATCGAGGAAAAGCTGAAGGCAATGGAAAAACTGGATGAGAACAAACCAGTCCGGGTTGGGGGCATCCAAGAAAGGATACAAGCACTCAAGAACAGCGGTCTCAACTTGGCCACGGAGCGCAGAGTTGCGCCAACACCATCATCACCAATGTCTACCACCCACACTATCGTCTCTCCCTCTTCGTTTGGTCCACCATCTCCGACTTCGACCCCGTCCTCCTCACCAGTGCAAACGTATACTCCAGCCATACCAATCGCTCCCCCGTTGACCCCATCTCGGACACTCAGTATCTCCAGCACAGAAGCAAAGTTCCCCTCCATATCTGAACTTGACGAGACATATCCGGCACCACGAGATATTCCCGACTACAACTTCCTTCCCATCGACCGACCGTCCAGTACTCCAGTAACCCCAACGGTCAGCTCGTTTGTCAGCAGGCCGGCCTCCCCAACCAAGCCCCCCATTCCCCACAAGCCCTCTAATCTTTCTCCTGCAAAGCCTCCGTTACCAAAGAACGGAAGCGTTTTTCCAAAAAGACCTGCAGAACTATCTTCGCGACTTCAATGTTCTACTTCTCGATGTGCGGAATCGGGGAGACTTCGACAAAGCTCACATCAAAGTCGACGCTGTTGTCTGTGTAGAACCAGTCGTCCTCACACGGCCGGGGTAAGTCGAACATCATTATTATCCTAAAGATTCATGTCTTTCACCCATAGGTTGACCGCTCAAGGATTGGAAGACAGCATGGTTGGAGCACCAACGAAGGAGACGACCATGTTCAAGAATCGCGACAAATTCGATCTAGTCGTCCTATATGACCACTCATCGACCACTCTTGCTTCACAGCCTATGACTACTCTTTTTAGCCTGATATATGATCAAGCATTTACCAAGATGCTCCGCAATATGCCAATGCTGTTAGTTGGTGGGCTCGATGCATGGCGTCGTGAGATGGGTGACGATGGGATAGCCGGCTCGCCTCCATTGAAACCACTCTCCGCATCGGTGCCTTCACCACCCATCAACGGCAATGGCCTGCTCAACGGATTTACTCCATCTGCGACCAATGCTAGTCAGATGACCAATGGATTTTCGAGCACAAGTGGTAACACTTCTTCGGACCCACATCAACTGTGGAACCCTCGTGCACGATCAGACACCAATCCTCCGCAACCACCCACCCTTCAACACCGACAAAATTTCTCACTCGATCAATCACACTCCTTCGGACACTCAAGGGCCCCCGCTGAAATATCGTATCCTCAATCGTCCAGTCTCACCAGGAGGCCGGCTGTAACAAGAGCTAGCCCGTCTTCTCTGCCACAAAGTATACCCGAAAATGTACTTTTCCACTCTGTTTATTTTCTCGTGTTTGATATCTTTCATACTAGTCATCTTCAATGCCTCCTGCCATTGGTAGCATTACTTACCCTTCATTCGCCCCACGAATGACATCTTCACCATCCCTCCCTGCAGCTTCATCTTTGACATTTGCGTCCTCCTCAAATATCTCCCCGGGGCCCATCACTTCTCCCCCACTGGCTTCGATTAATCCCTCCCTTTCACGACGACGGAGCGACTTCATCGACCAGTCCATGGAAACTTTGTCTCTCCAAAGACAGTCGATTGACTATCCTCCCTCAAGCATGCATAACAATATCCACGTGATAAGACCACCACCGGCCGTTGCATCCCCGGCCGAACGTCAAGAACGAGCGACTCCACGTTCGTTGGCACATGCGACCGGAGGTGACGATGGGCCACCCCGAATTAACTCGGATTATCCACCATCGTTTTGGCCGATCGCTTCTATGAGGACTTCAGGACTGAAGAATCTCGGCAACACCTGCTATATGAACGCCCCAATACAGTGTTTGACTGCAACTTTCCCCTTCGCTCAATTCTTCACGAGTAAGTCAGTGTTGTCTTCGTGTTCAGATAAGTAACGTGTTGAAACAGTGGGACGCTGGCGGAATGCTGTTAACACTGTCAACCCATTAGGCTCCAAGGGCTTATTGTCTGGCTCCTTCGCAAGCCTAATTCATGCCATGTGGAGTGGTGAACTGCCCTACATAATACCACTGGATTTCCGGGTTTGATATTCCTATAATATCTGGGAAACTAAGTAGGCTGATTCATTGGTAGAAAGTTGTTTGCAAACTCAACGAGCAGTACATTGGCTCCAACCAACATGACTCTCAGGAGTTTTTAAGTTTCCTACTTGATGGAATCCACGAGGATCTCAATCGGTTAATCGTGAAGCCGACCTTTACGCGGACACCGGAACAGGAGGCCGAACTTGAGCGACTGAGTACACAGGTTGCGAGTGAACAAGAATGGCGTCTTTGGAAGACGCGCAATGATAGTATCATCGTCGATTTCTTCCAGGGTCAGTTTAAGAATCGCGTGCAATGTTTGACATGTCTGACGGTGAGTTCCACTTGAATTTTTTCCCCACCATTCCTCACACAGTCAAAAACCTCCAGACATCAACCACGTATAACGTGTTTTCCATCCTTCAACTACCAATTCCACATGGAAGAAGCTCCAAAGTGCCGTTGCAAAGCTGTTTGGAAGCGTTCTTCAACACCGAGACACTGGAGAAGGAGGATGCCTGGGATTGTCCGAAATGCAAAGCCAAGCGACGAGCAACCAAGCAGCTTTCTCTTGCACGCCTTCCCCCCGTTCTGGTCATACACTTGAAACGATTTGAAATCAATGGTCGGTTTTCCGATAAGGTCGACACATTCGTGGACTACCCTGTTAGATCGCTCGACTTGACCAGTTACATGCCCCCTCCTCTTCCTCCTGGGGCAGACAAGGGCCGTATGATCGTGGCGCCAGACGATCCGAGGTCACAAGTGCCGCCATATCGATATGACTTGTATGGGGTCACAAATCACACGGGGAATTTATCTAGTGGACACTGTGAGTTAGTCTCTTACCTTTCATTCTGGTTTGACACGATGGCTTAGATACGGCCTTCATAATGGATCGTGACGGGTGGAAGTCTTGTGATGATAGCAGCATCCGACCAGTCGACGAGAAGCAGGTAGTCGTGAGTCGTTTGTCTTTTTCCGATTTTGATGTTGGGTCTAATTGCCTCTTAGAATCAGAAGGCCTATGTCCTGTTCTACAAACGCAGCAAGAACGTCATGTAAACTAACGCATTTAGAGCCATAACCCACGGATAGTTTTTTTCCCTTTCCTTTATGTTGGATTTACTGCTTGCTGCTGTGCACCTACTTACGTAACATTTGTACTTTACACATCTACCGCCACACATTTGCATTATAAGCACAAGAAAGGAATTTGTATATGCTACGTATGACTTGCTAATGATGTTAAGGTTTAAATTTATCAATGGACGTCGACTAGCATCGCAGAGTCCGCGACGTTATCAAGAAAGTGGCAAGAATGACAAGCAAACGTGTTTTCACCCTGAGTCTTGACTGGATAAAAGGCAGGGGAGAAATGTGTTCGACAGCGGAAACATTCCGGATCGTCTTGTTCTGCTTGGTAGGCATCGAGGCGGAAGAGAGGGTCCAAACGACGGGCTTTACGGAGGAGTCCATGAGCTTGAGTCACAGGCGCCTGCTTGTAGGCCCGACAATAAACTTGAAGTGCAGTCTGCGACGACAATATATTATTAGGCGAGGGGAGCTAAAAACAAACTCACCTCTCCCCCTTCATTCATTTCGCAGAGGCCGTACATGTCACGTTTACTTCGTTGGTGTTCCTTGCACGAGACAATCGGTCCCATACAACCGGATTCCCCCTTGAACGTGATCATGGTAGTGGTGTCTCGTCGTGAGCTCTTGACCTTGAAACAAGCATCAGTTCTCAAGGGCTATGGAACGACTGAAACTACGGACTGGCTGGATCTCAAAGCCAAATTTATAGCCCTGTTTCCATGCACAAGACGCATGGTATTCTCTGTTGCAGTCGGAACATCGAATGACGGCTCCCTCTGTTTGGTGGCATATGCTACATCGCTATCAAGACACCACCAGTTAGTTGTCTGATATGGATGCTCAGTCACGAGCACTCACTGTTGTCCAGCGGTGTCGGGCGATGGAGCTTAGACCTTCCACGCAACGTAGCCGTGACGCATCGGTATACGTTATCTCGTTCATGAAGACTGAACAAAGGACATGGGTCCAACCCTGGCCCTCGGTCGGCTTACGAGCATGCAAATACGAGTCCGGTGGCAGGGGATTGGGAGGAACAGCGGGCTTGACTACTCCTTTGCGTTCTCTAGGACAAACGAGACACTCTGAATTCTATATCCCAGTGAGTAAGCGAACTGAGCAGGGTGAAACTAGTGATACCAGGGCGGCTTCTTGTAGTTCTTCGTTCTTGCATACGTCACATATCCATGAATCGACGGAATTAGGACCAACAATGGCACCGCAAACACCTGCAAGGGCACTACGATGAGCAATTATACGACTAAACAGTCGTGAATGATATACCAGCATGAACACGGAACGAACATCGTTTACACTGTAGGACCTTACCAAGAGGACCATTCTTGTGGCAGGCCATACATCGGAGTTGCGGCGCAGTGGAGAGTGCTGGAGGTGGGGTAGATTGCGCAGAGGTTGATGTCTGTGGATAATCAGAAGTTTATTTGAACACGGAAAAAAAGGAAACCAACTCTTGCTCGTTTCGCCACCGGACCTTGGAGTGGCGTCCCTTCCCGCTTTTCTGGGGGAGCAACCTTTTCAGCGGGCTTCTTTGCAACAACGGCCGCCACTGGAACGGACTCTTCCCTTGTAGGACGAACATTGAGGTCAGCATATTTACGCCAATTGGTCCCACAAGTTTCACAAAGGATACTCGTACTCAGCCCCTTTGGCGCCTTCCACCACGTCTTGGATTCGCGGGTGCGACACGCCCCACATGTCGCAGTCTTGGAGGGATGAAGGACTGAACCCTCATCTTCCGATGGCCCGACATGCTGACCAGCGGCTGCTTCTTCGAGACTGCGATATTGCTTGGCCGGTGGCTTCACAGGTTTGCCATGCTCCAGTATACGGCGATTTTCCTCACCCAGTCGAGCACTGCATTGAAGGATATTTAGCGTAAGATAAGTGGTGTCGCCACAACCTACCACTTCCAATGTCCATAGAAGCGCACTACTTCATATATCGATCGCGTGGGAACTTCTTCCCTGACGGCGCGAAGTTCTGCTCCATGGGCTGCGAGGCCATCTTCGAAAGCAGCGATTTCTTCTGGGCCCCACGGTTTGTCCATGTAGCGAGTTTCTGTCCGTTTCCACTTTCAGATCTATAAGAGTGAATGTCTCTTCCTTTGAGAACCAACTGACCTTCTCCAGACGCATGGGTGATTTCATGTTCACAGTCGAAAACGGACGAGCGGTGAGCGCTGCGACGGAAAATCGGTGGATGACTTCTGTCAACCAGTCAACGCTGGATCGAAGACCCTTGTCGTTCGTAAGCCGGGCTTTGCAAGATTCCACTGCGAGGAAAATCAGACAACGGTAGTTGGCTCATGTTGTAAAGGCAGACTTTCAGCAGCTTCGGAATCACTCAAAATGTTGATCGCGCTCAATACTTCCACAGTATTATCCCCACCGCGGGCATCTTGTTCTGCTAGACATGCATGAGCGTCGACTAGTATCAGTACAGGAACTCACCATGAGGTTCCGTGTTGACGATATCATCTGGCACAAGAGCTTGAAACTTGGCCCCAAGTCTGATGGCAGTTCGAGGAAATATCAAGTCTTCTGGGTCCAGAGTATCTTCCGCGACAGTATGCTGACTGTGGATATGTTTATATGCCAAGCACGAAAAAAGCACACAGCACGAACCCGAAATACCGGAAGGGCCACATGCGAAAGTGCTTGATATCGAGTTTCTCCTCTTTCTCAGCCTGTAAGCGATCTTTCCGAGGCCGGCCACGGCCACGCATAGCTGGAGCGTTGGTTTTGCGTGGGAATCCGGTATTGAGAGGTCGATCACGACTATCAACCTCTTCTTCGTGCCGTTTAGAGCAAGGAGCGCAGGTCCAGCCATAGCCTCTCGATGGCTTGGCAGCTAGAGGGGGCTGGACGCATCCCATATGAAAGAATCGTTTGCAACCGTCGCACTGAACAGAGTCGGCACTAGAGTTTTTAGACCAATAAACCACAAAAATAGGTATACACACCTTGGACACCAAATTTGGCAAGAATCACAGAGACGCAGGACGTCAGTGAGGTCCGGAACCACCTCTTTCTCCACCACAACATATTCGTAACGTTCTATAAGTGTGTCTCTGATGTTATCTGGCACTAGAACGTCTGGGTTGGCGTGGATCAAAGGAGAATTAGTAAAAACCCACGATTGCGACAGTCTACTGACTGAATGACCTCGAATTCCCTTTTGATGTATGGGTCAAAAAGGCGATTGAAATAAAAGCGGTCCGGGCGTTTCTTCCAGCCTGAAAGGTCTGAAATTTTATCGCGATGAACGACATAGCATTTGGCGCGGAGTTGATTGATGTCGCAGATTTCGGAATAGATGGCAGCCAATAGGATTCGGGAGTCGGTGACGGGACGGTCGCTCACGTCGCTTGGTCGATAATACCACGCAAGACGAACGCGGCTATAAAAACACAGTTTGCCCTCTGGACCCTTCGGTGCATCTTCTGGTGGCAAGAACTCCATTATTCGCGCAACAGAGTATGGCGTGCCATCACGAACTGCCCAAGGCGGTGAGCAGTAGACGTGGTCTGAAAAATAGACATGCTATATGAGCAGAGTCGAAACACCATCAGAACTGGAATGCAAGTACCATTGACTTTTACTTCTTCGCCGTTCTTGAGATACACAGGAATTACAGTCTCCGACATCGCCAAGGCAAGGAGGAGAAATGAAACTAACAAAAATAGACGTAGCTACAGAAGAGGAGAAGTAGAGAGAGATGGAGGGTGGTGGGGATTATTGGGAGCTCTATCGAGCTTGGTGGTAGAAAGAGGCAAGATGCAGGCGTGGGAGACTTGACCGGTGGCTGACAAGCTATCCCTTGACCTCTTCACTGAATATATTTTTCTAAATCCATGCGCATACGACTTAAACTATATGTTTAAACCTGCTACAGGTTTTTTGGGCTGCCATACGGCGCTGATGTACCCATTTCATCGAGTTTCGCTTGCCAACAAGATTGATGATTGCCTATTTGGGACGCATAAGTGATGTGACAAACTGTGACCAGCTATGTGACAAACTGTGACCCTCCTTCGTTTGCTCTTCTGCTCCAACTTCGAAGTAATCTCTATCCATTGAGCGTGCTGGACCCAGTGAAACCAAAGACCTCAACTCAGCCAGCCAGAACCAGAAACACTGAAAGAGTCATTCCTCTAATGCGATCGCCAAGTCAGCACCGCTCGAAATTCGAACGAGGGTTCTGAATCGTTTACAGAATGGTATCACACGAATATTCCATCCTTCCCCTCACCACTCGACAATTGTGTACTCCTCCATTCATGTCCCGCACACTTGTGTTGTGACGCTCACTGAGGCTGGCTCGTCCACTACAACAACTCGGAATCTCGGATCGCACCTACTTCATTCAATCCTAATTATCACAGTCTCAAGTTATGCTTCTACCCGCCCTCAACCAGAGAGCAAGGGCAACTCATCTTGTTCCTGCCAAGATATCGACTCCGGCTGGACAAATGCTCAGTCACCTGCCGCTTCAAGTTTCAAGCTCAACAACCTTACAAGCTGTCTTCGGTGTTCAAGTAATGGCTTTCATCATAAAATCATTCTAGAATTCCCTCGGCTCACCGCGTTCGAGAACCTTGGGAGGAGATGACAGTAGAGCTTTTAGGGCTGGGCCAAAGACCTCCTCTGTACTTGTACTCCAATACACGAGTTAATACTACTTTTGCGCCTAACCGTAGTGAAAGGCGTCTTAGGCTCTTAGCGGAACGGCCGTCATACCGTTTTCGGAAAGTGTCTGCATGGCTTGACCTCAGCTGTCATGTCCTCATTCCGGAGTATCAGCAAGAAACTCGGTGTGGTGGAACTCGACGCTCTTCCTCCTCCGGTTTTACAAAAAGTGCCAAGCGGCACCACCGGCAGTGGTCGTCGTCGGCCCAAAAAGAAAGCAAGATTTGGATTGAGCGCCGCCTGGTCAACTATTGCCTCTCGTTTTGGCACGGTCTCGACGCCCTCTTTATCCTCAAGCGAGATTCGCGCTAGTCTTGTTGAACAATCGAGTGTTGGAACCAGAGCTGTCGATGCAACCAGCGATCCTGACCGAGTGCGTTGTAGTCTAATTTCATAATCACGTTTGCCTAATAAACTCAGGTTGACCGCATTGTTGTTGACCGTTCATGGGCAACGGAGTCGAGGAGTCGGGGGTCTCACGACGAGGAACGTAGTCCGGAAACAAAATCGAAATCCAGCTATGGCGCCGCGCCGCTGACACCTTTTCAAGAGGGTTGGCATCCGTCTGGTCCTCTCCAGAAACATACCCCGACTATTCTTTGGAGCGTCTGGGCGATGCTCCTTCATTTTTTCCATCCCACCTTCCCAGACGAACGGACAGAGCGACATTACAAGAACGTGCGAAATCAGTTTGCTTGAGAGTGCCATTCCCTAATCTATTCACAGGAGGATTGGGGCCTTTCCAAAGGCCTTGCACGGTGGGCGGCTGTCTGGCTTATCATAAACTGGGCTCTTGGAGCTGCTTTCAGTGCCAGACCACGCAATGCCATGGACAATGTGTTTCTCTATGGAGTTTGTCAATTATTTTCTTGGCTGGCTTGTTTGTATAACCGGCTGATCAGATTGGGACTGTCTTGAGTGTGCCCATTGTGTCAGTCTATATATCATCTCAATTTTTTTTTCTTTAACCGCTCGTTCACAGTCTTATTGTCGCGTTCGACTGGCCGCGCACACATTCACTGATCTACCAAAGTACCATCACCGCCAGTCTCTCTCTCCTCGTTCATCTGAATTCCTTCTAGTCATTGTTGGTTTCTCCATCTTCATGTGGGGCTTTTACTACCTCCTCCTCATGTGCGTCTGGTCTCTTTCCTCTCAAACAGCAAATGATTGGGTCCCTAGGGAATTCTGCGGCTTTTATCCCAATCCCCACAAAGTCTTCGATTGCCCAGGAAGAGATTTCATTGGGCTATTCTACTACACAACTGTCAGCTGTCTGTTTATTTTCCTTTCACTCCCCCTCACCAGTTATCCTACAGGCCCTTCCTGTTATCGGACTATTTGGATTGAAGATGCAAAGAATAACTGCTGTCCTGGGTGGTTTGATCATCTTTCTGATGTCAGTGTCCTGTTCACTCTCGTTTTTGGCCTTTATTCCCGATGTAGTGGTTGTATTGCCATCGTGCCGCTCCATCCAACGCTAGCAAGGACTATGGTCAACTACTTCCTCTTCTTAGCATGTTTGTCCTTCCTATCCTGCTTTTGTCGTTAGTGAACGTCTCCAGTCATCATCTATTCTCACTACAAGCGTGAAATGGTGTGTGCCTTCATGCACCGTGGGGGGGTTATTCATCATCCTCCAGGCCGAGAGACGCCTTTACTCATTGAGAAGCCAGCTAAAAATACAGTTTAAGGTAGGGTCCTTCTTGATCAGTCTATCTGATAAAAGGTTAATTTCCGTTTCAGGAAACGCAACGAGCTCAAATTAATGAACGAAAAGCTTCTGATTCTAAACGGCGCTTGACATCGTAGGGTCTCTTTGATTTGGTGAATCTTATTCTTATGCTTCACAGATATGTTTTCCATGATAAGTTTTCTTCGCTGTTGTGATATAGTCAGGGTTGACTCTTTTTTCACAGGTCCGAGTACCCCTCAACTCTGCCCGTAATATTGATCCCACCTCTTTCCGTCGCTCGTCTGATTCTTGTTCCAGTTCTCGCCGTCCAAAATATCAATTCCTCGGGTATCATCAGTAAAGACCACGACATCGAGTTCAATGCACTCAGCGGCAGTCTGAACATGATGCGGAATGGTATGTCTTGCTCCCCTTCCTTCCGAGATATTCATGCTTTCTATAGTGCTCAACGATGTTTTGGATTTGTGAGCGTCATTCTCGCTGAATAACAGCGACTAACTGAGGAGATAGTAATCGTATGGACAGCGGGACGTTTGAAGTTTCCTCCAGGGTAAGTTTCTGCCAGTGCACACCGACCCTTTAATCAGTTGCCAGCCGTTTGCCTTTCATACTACTATGCGGTCTTTGTTCGTGCCTCTGGTGATTGGTCTTTTCGATTATCAAAGTCATCACAACTCATTCCGTCAGCAACTCGCTACCGATGCTCGTGGCCAGGATTTTGTTGCCGAGTTGGACCCCAATATCGATAAGGTCAGCACAGCTTCTCAGATCGGTTCGCTAAAACTGGACTGAATGAACCCTCGAAGGTGGCAAGGTGGGCGGCATACCAGGCAATGGGAGAGACAGCAGATGTGATTACGCGACACATGAAGGAACATCCCGAAGTTGCAGGTGTCGTCATTGGTGATCACGTGCGGTTACGACAAATTGTGAACAACCTTGCATCGTAAGTGTCTTGCACCTACTGCTCCTTCTTGATTCAGTACCTCTTACAGCAATGCTACCAAATTTACACCAGCCGGCGGGCGAATTGCCATCACAACTAAACTCTTGCACCCAACGCCTGAGCAAGTCATGGCTCTCGAGGATTCGGACTCACTCTTGAGGTTCCCAGTCGACCAGTCAAAGTCGAACGGATCCTCTTCCCCCAACAAAGAGGGAAACGGACATCCACTTTCGAGATCTCATTTAGACCAACATAATTTGGCCAACGGCGTTGCTCTAACTGAGGAACTCAACAAGATTGTTGTCAGGATCGAGGTCATCGACACTGGGTACCTTTTCGCCGAATTGTACTGGCAATCACTTACTATGATCCTAGCTATGGCATTACCCGCAGGGACATGGACGAATGTAACCTCTTTTGTTCGTGCGGCCTGTTTTCAGCTGTCTAAATCTGATATCTTCTTCTTTAGCTGCGTTCAATCAAACAGAACAGGGGAAACAACAAGGTGGGAAGGGAACCGGCCTCGGACTAGCTCTCGTTCGACAAATCGTCAAACTCAGCGGTGGTCGACTTGGTGTGCGCTCTAAAGCTGGAGAAGGCAGTTGTTTTTGGTTCGTGCTTTCTAGTTTTTCTCTTTGTATGGCTGACCGAGTTATGTGTAGGATTGAACTTCCTCTTGGCGTGGGCCGTGAAGCACTGGTTCCTCCTGACATGGAGTCGGAGCATTCTTCGACTGACCCAGACATCACTAAAGTTCGCAGGGCAGCGAGGTCAAGCACCGATATTCCTGTGTCGACAAACAGTCTCACCATGGCTGTTGACGCTGTTGCATTGAAAAACTCGGTCATCAAACCGCCCTTGGATCGGTCTAGCTCTGCTATCCACAACATCATGGAACAAGGTGGACGAGTTGAACTAGGTTTGGCCAAGCCATCCGATGCGTTGAGTGGTCCTACTCCCACATATACCCCAAGTCCATTGGCTTCTCCCGGAAGGTCTTCTTTGGATGTTGCGGGAGAGGCCTCTTCGACACATGTCCCAAACACCCCTGCTGCATCTCCTTCCTCATCGCGACCGACATATCTCCCCATGCCCAGTCCAAAACGCTTCATGAAAGATGCGTATCCTACTGCGTCGACCAATTCCGGCATCAGCTCTTCATCAGCGTCTTCACCAATGTTGACATTCGACTCCAACTTTCAAGGTATTCCTACAAGCAACTCAGACACTTCGTTGCTGTTCGACCCTGGCATGTCGGTCCTCGTCGTAGACGATGATTTGATAACGCGCAAGTTGATGCAAAGGATGATGACGAAATGGGGCTGTATCGTAGAGACAGCAGAGAACGGGCAAGCGGCTTTGTTTGCGCTTGGTGCCGTTGCGACCCCGGCAAGCGAACAGACCTCAGGAAGTCACTCAAGGGGACCAATATTAGAACGACCGGCGAACGGCGGGGACGAGGAGAGGTTTGATATAATATTTTTAGGTGCATACTCCACCTTACTCTCTGATATTTTGCTGAATTTTGTTTGCAGATAACCAGATGCCAATACTAAGCGGACTCAACGCTGCGGCCAAACTACGAGAGTGGGGAAGGACAGATTTCATTGTCGGCGTTACGGGGAATGCTCTCTTGGAAGGTGAGTTGAGGTATCGACTTTCTGTGATAGGCCGCTGACGTTCTTCAACAGACCAGGAGGAGTATATTGCGGCTGGTGCAGACCAGTATGTGAACCTAAACATCGATGTCTCTCTCTAACTTGTTTGCATTAGTGTGTTGACCAAGCCCGTCAACGAACAAGCATTGCGTCGCATGCTCGTTCTCGCAGATTCTCGGCGAAAGAATCGGACAATTTTGCCGGGTCCTCCTACGCCCCCATCTTCATAACCCTACATTCGATTTTCTCTTTTCTATAGGACGCTCTATCTTAGTCTCTGGCCTATTGCTATTTCCAGGGTTCCCACTCCGCTTTGCATCTGCATTTGTATCTCTAGCTATCACATCCTACTTTACGCCTCCATTTTTACTCATGCACACCGTCGTTTTGTCACTACGCATCTGTACACTTCTGCGCATTAGGTTGGCAACAAACGAGACTTGAAGAATTTGATTGCTCTATCAGGTCAATGGATCGGTGGAACAGACAGCAGAGCCAACAAGCAAGAAGCGTTTCAACCAGGCTGAGCCACCGTTTTCGAGAAGAGCATTTCATCAAGGCTACCAGATCGCCTACATCTCTCACTCGCTGTACATCTTCATGATTACTATCACCTTGCTTTAGTAAGGTCCCCCCCATGGTCACAACCTGGCACAACGATCATGATCCACTGATGGGGACCCAGCCAAACATGTACAAATCAACCCGAACGCCCTGGGTCAAAAAACCCAAAACCTTCGATGAAACCTCGGTGAAAGTCAAGTATCTCGTAATAGCAATTACACGATAAAGCTGTCAATCAGCCGTCGTCCTTTGACAGGCCACGCAAGTTCCCTTCTGTCAAGTACCGTAGACGAGAAAGTTTGACCCCTTGTTGACGATCCAAGAACAACGCCACTTTACCATCTCGACTGTGCTTAGGCAATATAATGCCGCTTTGTTGAACAATCCCCTCATCGCCATGTATATCTGGCCCAATAACCACCGCGCGTTGTTCGGGTTCCGGTCCTTTTTGGCTCGTTGCAGGTGCTGTATTTAGCATGACAGTGTCTGAACACAAAACCAATACCTGAGTAGGTTCAACTTAACTTAGCCGAATTATAAAATCCTACCGAGTGTGTTCTTCCTCCTTCCTGTCCCTGTTGGTTACAAGTCAATAAACAGTTTCTCACGCGCACTTTGGCTTACCATTTGTACTTCCAAAGCGCCGATTTTTTCCGAATCTCCTGTCAGACCAACTCTCCTTGTCACAACGCCTGTTTTATTGCAATATGCGCCCCCAGTTATCAACACTTCGTCACCTTGGCAAAAGTGTCTCCGTACTGCCGAAATCCTCACCGCTCGCCGTCTCTTGTTGATTGTGTGCCGCACATGCACCAAACTTTCTCCACTCCCGTCCTCCACCCTTTCAACACAGAATAGTGCTTTATCCTTGATCTCAACACGCTCCCCTACCCCCGGTTGCCGATCGCAAGCGAAAACATGTCGTTGCACCCTGGCAATTGGAACGTCCAAGATGTCGCCGCTCTTTGTTGGTGTCATGAGGAGTCTAACCAAGTCGATCGCTTGACAGTCTATCCTTTCGCCAGCAACCGAAACTCTTATGCGAGCTTCCGTTTCGCTCTGACCTATGAGGTATCCGCTCCGCAAATTCGCCATCGCATTGGGAGTGGAACACAACACGCGTTCCCGGGGAAAGCGCCATACCGGCGCAGTCCGTTCCAATGTCGTCGAGCAAGCCAGTGTCAAGTTTCTCCCATCTTCTTAGTACTTCAGGAGGTGGTTCATTCCAGACGTCCGTCACACAGTCCTCCAGAGCACAATACGCGGGAACACTTGAATCTGCGTAAAGTTCCGTCGGAATCTTCCGCGATAAAGAATACATCGTCTTCGGCCAGAATCCATTGACGAGTAGCCAGAGGTCCTACGTTATAGTCCAATTGGAACCATCGACCGCGCCATGCATGAAGTTGACCTCCAATGCTGGGCTTTTCGTAGAAGCCTGCTCTTTGAACAGGACTAGTCGGTCCAGGCAATGACCTTGCTATTGTCAATGGCGCATTACATATGCCAACGATTCACGCACGTAGTTACTGAGACGATTTTTGTTAGCTTGGTTACCAGTACTTTTGCTACTCCCAAACTGACAGTCTCCCTGAAGTCTTGAATCTCTCATTTCCAATCGTTGAGATGACATTGGAAACTGTCTGGCCATCGACCAGGAGACTGTAAGGGCAACCCTGGAGACTCCGACGAAAGCCTAGCAGGGGAGGATCCAAAGCGTGAATAAAAGCTACGGGAAATACACGGAGGGACCGACCTAGCAGGGGAGGATCCAAAGAGAAGAAACTCTAAGGGTCCGCCTGCTAGGGCGCCAACTATATACTGGTCGTCCGTAACTGCCGACGTAGAGCGCAGAAGGCCTGAGCGGCGTCGCAGGCTCTGTCCCAAGGTGATCGTTGGGAGGGTCTTGACGGATCGGTGATTGTGCGGGCGAAGGAGGCCGTGGACGATGGTCGGGGTGGGTCGGAGCGTCCGAGGGGGCGCCGGTCGGATGCGCCTCGGATGCGTTCGGAGGGTCCGAAGGAGGCCGAAGCGGGGGTTCCCCTGACAGAGACCAAGGAACTTGAGATTTAGGCTATCGTTGTGTAGCGGAGGAAAGCGAGTGTTACCGACGTCACATGTCTTCCCCGTCTACTTAATCAACTTTCACTCCTTTTGCTCTACATACCCTTGTCCTCTTCGTTGTGACGTACACGCTACACTATTCCTTTCTAACTTCAACCACCTGAATCTCGCTGGAATCCCTTGCTGATATCAACCTTCATAAACAGGTACGCAATCAATGCAACTTGAATCCAACCACCGCAAGCATAACTGCACTGCAACGCACAAAGCCTTCGTTCCTTGCGCGCGCTCGAGTCAACCAGCGACTTCATATCCATGATCCGACTTTGCTGTCATTATCAAGACTTCCTGCCGTTGACCAAATGCTATCACTTACCTGGTCACTTTTCGGCCCTAAACAACATCTGAACCATCTTTCAGTGGCCCATATCACACTCGTCTATGTCTTGACGCTGTAATGACCGTTAAACTCTCGAGTCGCTCATCTTCCTCCCTGAGTTGCTCCGATGGGTGTGTTGTGAACAGTTTGGCATCGAAACCCCTCAATATTCGGATGTTATCTCGTCCATGACTCCTGGATAGCGCCACATATGCATTGAATGCGGTCAACTTTCCCGATGGTGGCTTGCCTAAGTCAATTACCACGTATTCTATGGTTTGGCCTTGCGACTTGTAGTCCGTGAAAGAATACCCCGGTGTTACCGCGTATTGTCTCCTTGAAATGGTTACGTCCTCGTCGGCCCCCGTGTGGACCTCAAAGGTCGCAACTGAAGGAACAATGGGTATAGTACCCGATGGCAGCCCTTCAAACGCTGGGAAGGTGCTATGGTACGGCCTGAAGAGGATAACGGCTGGAGGGTACTGCAACACGATCCCATTCGAGACCGGGTCTTTTTCTAACGGCAGTGATTCTCTAGGGTCCAAAACAAGATCCGCGATGACGCCACGAGTGCCGTTAGCCAGTTCAGCTTCTGTCGAAATGTTCCACAACACCATGGCCTCCATTCCAACTGCAATCTCCACGACCTCCAGAAGACGACTTGACTTTTTGCTATCCAAACTGGCCACTGCGAATCGTTGCCAAGCATTTAAACTTGCTTTCGTCTTGCTGACCACATCTTCGCTGTGGCATCGATAGACGCTGATGACCGCTCTTGGCCGCGTGCTTTCTCAAAGAGTGCGTGTTCCACAGCATTCTAGTGCTATGTCGTGGCGTTACCAAAACCGCCCTCGCCCAAGGATCGGTGTTCCAGTTTACTGGGATCGCTTTCCGGTCGTCCACCAATAAGTGCTCTAGGAGCTCGATATCGTCCTTGGTACAGTCGCCAACACGAAGCCTCTTCAACAACGCCATCCATTCAGGATCTGTTACGCGCCTTTGCTCAGTTAACGTAACGACAACGGTGAACTGTAAGTATAAGCTCAATCCTTCTGGCGAGACACCTGGGGCGGCTTGCAATCCATAAAACAACGCTTGTTTTGGGTCGCCAATGGGAGGGAACTGGTGCAAATCTCCGACTAAGATGACGTTCACCAGGCCAAAAGCATCAGTTGGCTGTGCCTCGCGCGGAGGTCCTGCTTGACAATACCCATGATTTGAGACAGCAAATGCAAAAATCTCTTGGTCAACATCGAGAATTCATCGATCACGAGGTATTTCACTGGTCCTATGTTCCTCATGCGCTTTTCTTGAGTACCTTTTCCTCCTCGAATTCGTGTCTCGTGGATTGATATGCCTGCCCAGTTGTGAACAGTTTGGCCACCAAAGAGACTTGCAGCTACGCCAGTTGTCGCCGTCAACGCTAATAAGCTTCTTGCATTCAGATCCTCAAATGATTGAGCAATCGCTTTTAGCACCACTGTTTTCCCAGTCCCTCCTTCACCTCGAATAACCATTAAAAGCTGTTGTGGTCTTGCTCCAGATAACGTGTCGCGCAGGTGATCGAGCACGATATGATGTGCTCTAGATTGTTCGGTATTCAGGATTGGGCCCATAGCATTGAGGTTCGCAACACTCGGAGTGATATCTGTCACACCACCTTTGTCAATCACGCGACCGGAAACGCTTCGCTCCGATTCTCCCAAGACGTGAATTCGCCCCAAGTCTTTCCCCCCCAAATCTAATGTCGACTGCTCCACGAAATTCTTGCTCTTAGTATATGCCGAAATCTTCTTCCCCCATTCATGGAACTTCACCATGTCATCCGTCGTTGCCTGTCGAACAAGTGGCTGAAGCGGAACATTACTTGGGTACTCCTCGCTGAAGATGCCTTGGCCGAATGCAATATCCACGGCTTGCTGTCCAAACATGCGCTCCCGCAAACCCTGACGGCTTTGGCGTGCGAACTCGATTTCCTCTTCTGTAGGCTCTTTCGCAAGAGTGGTTGCATTAACTGATGGCACTTCTGTGGTAACGCCATTCTGTTCTCTTTCTAGATCCTGCGGCTTTCGTGGACCGTCCTTCTCCTTCTCTTCGCGTCGCTTCGCTGCGCGTTTTGTGCACTCGTGGAAATACTGTATATTGGCAACCAATCGTTTCTGTTCAACGGTAGCACTTTCCAAGAAAGTCGACCAGGCCGTACAGAACGAGGTTTGCCCACAC